CAGCCTCGGGAAGAACTGGGCATATACTCACTACCAAGACAGAGCAACACCAGTAATGGGGAGATGCAAAAGCTGACAGGTGTACTGGCAGATAGAAGTACCCAAGAGCCTAGATAGGGAAAAAGAAGTGCGCCAAAACCAGGATGCGGCAATATGCAGTTCCTGGAAAAAGTGCCTCAGGCATCCTCTGGCCTTTGCAGTCCAGCTCTGCAGAGAGTAGGGGGCAGGGATCTGCGTAACTAGGAGCTGGGTGTCCAATAGGAGGGTTTTGAAGGCCGAGGAGATGGTAGGGTAGCAACAAGAGGAATCTGGTGCAGTATGAGCGCACAACCATCAGCTGATAGCGAGGAACCAGTCAAGTGCCGCGATTTAAAAGGGCGGGGCTGCAGCCGACGTCACCACCGCGGCACTCGTCACCCGCGCTTGCCGCATCCCATCCACAAGATCTCTCTGGACCAGCTCGGGTGCACACGCGTCTCTGCGGGAGCCAGCCTAGACCTCTGCGGCAACTCCTGTATCATGGCCGACTCGGAGAACCAGGGACCTGCGGAGCCCAGCCAGGCGGCAGCGGCGGCAGCGGCGGCGGCAGCGGCGGCAGCCGAGGCAACTGAGGAGGTAATGGCGGAAGGCGGTGCGCAGGGTGGAGATTCTGACAGCGCCGCTGGCCACAGTGACAGCGCGGCTGCTCAGATGGCTGAGGAGCCCCAGACCCCCGCAGAGAATGCTCCAAAGCCTAAAAATGACTTTATTGAGAGCCTGCCTAATTCGGTGAAATGCCGCGTCCTGGCGCTCAAAAAGCTGCAGAAGCGATGCGATAAGATTGAGGCCAAATTTGATAAGGAATTTCAGGCTCTGGAGAAAAAGTATAATGACATCTATAAGCCCCTACTCGCCAAGATCCAGGAGCTCACCGGAGAAATGGAGGGCTGTGCATGGACCCTGGAGGGGGAGGAAGAGGAGGAGGAGGAATACGAGGAAGAGGAGGAGGAGGGCGAGGAGGAGGAGGAGGAGGAGGCTGCGGCAGCCGCGGGGGCGGCCGCGCGGGTGAGAGATGACAGTCACCATGCCGAGATGCCTGATGACGCCAAGAAATAAGAGGGGGCAGAGATCACCCGGAGAAAGTCGCCGTAAACAACAACCCATTTTTTTTTCTTTTAAATATTGGTGGACTGTAAAAGGCTCAGGTTTTTGACCAAAAATACAATGTGAATCTATTCTGACATTCCTAAATAATTTAAATTGAAGCAATTCGATTCTGGTCAGCCCATTTCAAATTTGACTTTCATTTTGAACACAACAAAGGTATCAAAAGATGTCGAAGAATACCAAATTAGGCTTAAAATGGTTTTTTCATGATCTGTGAGGACTGGGACTGAGGCTGCAATGGGTGTCAGCAGATGTAAAAGAAAGTACGTCACTTTGAAATCCATTCATAACGCGACCATTACCCTACCCATGGAACAACCCCAGCCAAACTGTACTGCATTCTCCATACTAATTCTTCTTTAGTCCTTACATTTCCCAATGCAGAGAAAGCAAACCCAAGAAAGACGTCATCTTTTAAGACTTTGCTTTTGCAACCCCGACATCAGCTTTACCACGTCAGAGGAGAGACGGTGAGAGACTGTGTGGAGGAAGCCTGCGATGGAGATCATGAGACTATTGCTAATGAGGCCAGGAAAACTGCCATTTCAATTTCTGAAAAATGTTCTGAATATTTGGATCTAGAGCAAAACATGGTTTCAAGAAGGAGAGTGTATAACATGTATAATATTGTCAACATATGTATTCATTAGTTACAGTTTCATGTTTAAGTGTTTTCTTGGTAGTGTCTTTACAAAGGCGTAAAAATTACCCTAAATGTTTTAAGTCACTTTACCTAGAATTGTAGAAATATTAATTTACTTGAAGAGATGTAGAATGTAGCAAATTCTGTAAAGCATGTGTACCCAGTGTTATGTAGTTTGATCCTTGTGAAGTCTTTGTCATGTAGCTTTTAGGGTGTAGCTGTGAAAATCATCAGAACTCCTCACTGAAGCTAATGTTTGGGAAAAAAATATATACTTGAAGAACCAATCCAAGTGTGTGCCCCCATCCCCAGCTCAGAAGTAGAAAGGGTTTAAGTTTGCTTGTATTAGCTGTGCCTTCATTATTTTGCTATTTAAATGTGACATATTAAATATAAAATGGTGCATAATCAAATTTTACTGCTTGAGGATAGACTGGCATACAGAAAGGATTTTGAGGAAAGAACACATTTAATGTAAAGACTCTTAGCTTCTTTGTGGGTTTTGAATTATGTGTCAGTCAGTGATCTACAAAAAACCATAAGCATAAAGTTGTTTACCACTGTGGTGTTAATAAAACAGTATTTTCAAAAAAAAAAAGACTTGGTATTCTTATTGCGTATATTCTCATCTATAAAAGGGAATGGTCCCTTATGAGTTAATACACATTAACCCTATAGAACAGTAAGTGCTGGATAATTTTCGGCTATTATCAATATGATTACAGAAAAATTTAACCCTCCCATTACAAAAGGGATAACACAGCCATCATTATATCCCTACTTATTATTTATTATCAGAAAAGAATTTGCCATTTAATTCAGAAATACAGAAAATTCAATAAACTTGATTTCTTCAACATAAAATCAGGTTTTGATTTCCTCTCAGAAAGGATAAAAGACTTTAACATGACATTATGAATATACAAAAATGGTTATCTTCAACTTTATGTTTGGACATTCTGAATAAAGAAAAAAACCAAAACAAAAACCTAGGCTCCAAAAACATTTTTAAAAATCAGATGCCAATCTCTTCCATTTCTTAAGGGTTAAAATTACGCAGGAGCAAAAGCTGACTGTTTTTGTAGGAAATGGAAGGCAGCTCTGACCTGTTGCTAATGACAACAGTGAGTACAAACACCTAGGGTAATGTTAATCTTCCCGATAGCCAGAAATTAAAAATTTCCTTTTAATTTAAAAGAAAATTAAAATAACATTACATAAGTCATGATTATCTTAAATCATGATTATTTTAACAAAGCAAAGAAAAAACTAATAAAATATTCATTTCTTATCTCTAGAAATGAGAGATTCTCATTTAATATTTTTATGGATCCAGTAAAAAGCAAAATTGATTAAAATACTAATAAAGGATCTTCTTACTAGGGAAAAAAAACTTGGCAGACATATGATTATTTATATAAAGAAAACCCATTCAGCTGAAAAACTATTAGATAAAAAATAATTGAAATGCTAATAATAATGGGAAAAAAATTTTGCAGGCATATGATTATTTATATAAAGAAAACCCAGAGAATCAGCTGAAAAACTATTAGATAATCGTCTGATAACTGATCTGGCTATCAGATAACAAAAATTTTTATTAAAAATAATCAAAATATATGGAAAAGGATTTCACAGTAGAAATAGTAAGACAAAAATATTTATACCAACTTCTGATAAAAAAATTATATATAACCTATGTGAAAAGAATAAACATTGGCCTTCACAAATGTAACATAGGCCTTTGAATTGTAAGATAGAAATAAAAAATATATGTTAGTTCTTCTCAAATTAACCTTTAATTTGTCACAATCCATCAAAACTCAAACTTGATGTGGAACTTATTAACATATACCCCTCATGCTTACTCATTAGAATAGCTAAGAAAACTTAGTAATATAGACTTTAATGGACAAAAAAATTTTAATTGAAGAAAATACACTAAATATTTATCAATTACTGAACATGTAAAGTCTAAGCATGGCATAAAACCAAAAGGACAACACAGAAATTAGGAAATTATAAAAAATTATACATATACTCAACATTTTCAAATGCAAATAACAAACTGGGAATCAAATCTATAATTATATTCAATGTGATTTATATTCAAATCTATAATTATATTTCAATGGGCTCAAAAAGAGCTAATAGTCAATGTAATAGTTCGTATGAACCATATGAAAATCAGGTGTTTTATAAAAATATATAAAGGATATAAGTAGGTTACTTTAAAAGGAGAAAATAAGATACTGAAATGGAAAGACACATTCCTATATGGCGGCAGCACTAGGAGAAACAGGGCTCTAGCAAGCTTTTGAGACACAAGTTCCCCAGGGTGTTCTCTGATCAGCAGTCTTTCTTTTATAAGGGCTTTAGCTCTTGGGTTTTCACTCCTTCAAGGATACGGGGATGTTTATGATGCAGTTCTTAATGCATAATGTTTCCACCATTTCCTAACTTGGCTGATCCCAGAGTACTTATTTGATAGTTTGTCTGTCAGTCATAAAACCTGCAAGTTAACAGCTAGCAAGATACCCTCCCTTCAAAGCCAATCAAATACTATCAATCAATAAACCATTTTTAACCCATTTTAGGCCAAACTTAGTCAACAAAGCACAAAACAGCAGAAAGAAGGGCAGCATGCATTACATGTAAAACTGCAGCACTCTGATGCTTACTGTGCAAGCAGGGCACAGCAGCTCTCTCTGCTTGCGAATTTCATACACAGATACATTGGACACACACGACACAAATGCTTTTTTCTTTTTTCTTCTTTTATTAAGGTGAAATCCACTTAATATAAAATTAGCCATTTTAAAGAAAAAATTCAGGGGCATTTCGCACATTGAATGATGTTGCATGGATACCACCTCTTATTTGTTTAAAAAAATATTTTAGAAATAGACATAGCAGAAAAAGGGATCAATGTTGTGCAGAATATGTAAGGTATCCTATATATAAAAAAATTAATGAAATTGAATTTCTTATCTACTTTTTGGTAAAGAAAGAATACCACAATATAAGGTTTTAGTGACATGGATATTCTCATACACTGATGATGTATAAAAAAGTACAATTCATTAGCAAAATTAATTTAGCAAAAATATCTGTCAACACATTCAAAATGCTATACATTTTATTTCATCCTTGGAATCTTATTAAAAAAACAATTTTAAAAGCAAAAAAAAAAAAAACACCTTTACACATAAAAGAGAAAAAAGGGAAATAAAAAAACATACAAGCCAAATATCCAAATAAAATAACACATTAACACAACAGACTGTACAACTATTATTAAGATGTCCATAAATATTTTGTAACATTTTAATACTATATAAGCACTGTCCCTATACCTGTTTAAAAATTCAGACATTCAATTTCATACACATACAGTATGTTTTAACTAAGCCAACCTTGTTTTCAAAAAATTACATAGCCTGCTTGGTAAAACAGCAAACTCTTTACAATAATTTTTCTTCCCGGGGGAGAAGGATACAGGAACTCTGGCTCTCAGTTGTAGTACACCGATGCTCAGGGAGCACTAAGCTGAACAGTTGGTTTTGAATCCTGGACTTCCCGCTGTGTAACCCTGACCAAGTAACCTATGCCTCTTTGTGCCTCAGTTTCCTCATCTGTGAAGTGGGGAGGCTTACCTGTTAAACACTTAAAATAGTGCCTGACACATGGTAAGCACTAAGGAAGTGTTACTGGCATCTCAATTATCTGCTGTTCCTGTAACAATCCAGTACAAATGTAATGCAGACTTTAAAGACTGCACCTCTCATATACTATCATGAGAAGTTAACTGAAGTTAATCAGAATTCTAACCTCAATAGATTTTTAAAAAATATTTTTAGTTGTAGATGGACACAATACCTTTATTTTATTTATTTATTTTTATGGGGTGCTGATGATCGAACCTAGCGCTTCACACAGGCTAGGCAAGTGCTCCACCTCTGAGCTATAGCCCCAGATCTTAAGGAGAAAGAAGTGTTTGTCATGCGTTAAGTTTTATTCACAGGTACCCTATGGAGCATTTACCTTACTAAGTCTAGCATTTCTCAGTGTTTAGTCCTTTTACTGTTTATTGTCGCTCTTCCCCCACTTCCCTCATACAGGGGAACATACAGAAGGACAGCAATTGTGATTAATTTAATCGTATCAAATCAAAGTAAATTTGGGGGGATTTATAACAATATGTGAGTTTTTAATTAGTGTTAATAACACCAATATAGCATATAATAAATACTTAAACATGAGTAGTCTTGTGATATAGTATTATCCAGATGTGAAGACAGCGGTGGCAAGATTTAGCTATGATGCAGACATCAGCATCAACCACAGATATTCCTTTACCCAGTTGTCTATAACTCATTTGACTGTGTAGTTCTTGTCCAAGGATAGAAAGCAATTTTAAGACCAAATAGAATGAAATAAATTATGGATCCACAATTGGTATTCCTCCGGCATTGCCCTCCAAGGCAGCCATGACAGCAAATATCTTACTGTTAATGAAAACAGCTTCAATGTCAATAGTATCTGTGTACATAGATGCCTAAATTAAAAATCCAACAGATATTATTCCTATAGTTTTTTCATTTCTTATCTTATTCATATCATACAGGACCCCTGGTGACAAGATTATGGCATATAGCAAGCAAAGGAATGCAGCTATAACGATTAATCTTTTATCATTTCATAAACCTTCTTACCAGGATCTCAAGGTACTTTGCTGATAAGATGTGTTTTGTGCAGCTTAAAATGAAATGGGGATAAAAATCAAATGTCTTTTCTTCTGGCTGCCACTAATGAAAACAGCTGAATTAAGTAGTGTGGAAGTAACCATATTAGATTCTTGGAAGCTGCTCAACAGTATTATGGGCTGAATGTTTGTGGCCCCCACTCCCAAATTCATATGTTGAAACACTGCCTTCCAATGAGATGGTAGTAAGAAAGTGGAACCTATGGAAGGTAATGTGGATCAGATAAAGTCATGAGGGTGAACCCTCCTGAAGGGGACTATTTATAGGAGCCATGAGAGCTTGTGTCCCCTCACTGCCCTCCACCATTCAAGAATATAAGTAGTTGGCCTTCGAAGAGGACCCTCACTAGAATGTAACCAATGTTGACACCATGATTTTTGGACTTTCAGCCTCCAAAACCATGAGAAACACATTTCTGTTGTTTATAAACCACCCCATCTATGGTACTTTGTTACAGCAATCTGGACTAGGATAAACAGATAACTGAAAGCACAGGATCTGTCACCAAGTGACACAGAAACAAGTAAACAGTGACTAACACTGTATGGATGAGCTCACTGTGTGCTTAGTGAGTGCTAGTGACCCTGAAAAGCCAGAACCTAAATTTCTACCTAACACAGAAGTGGTTCCATATGTTAATCTCAAATATAGTGTATCGGGAATCCCTACTTTGCTTGGCAATATGTAACATAACCACATATTTTATTGTACAAAGACTTTTAAAACTTTCGAAAACTATTACTTAGTAAGTCACAGTAACAAAAAAATATGGAGTTTTCTAATACAAGATAAATAATATGGGCTCCTTTTTGTGATCTTATATATATTTTGGTTTTGGCTCATAGTCACTGTATAGTGCTCATAGCCCTAGATATTTTCTAAATAACTAGTATTATAAGATTAAAAGATTTTTTCCTTTTGTCCTTGGTCTGCCACAGCTTCAGAATAGTTTTAGAGAAAAAAGGTTAAAGACCACAATGTTATAGTGCTTTAGTCTGTAGAAACAAGCCTTAGAACAAAAAAATCTCTCTCTGGCCTTCCCCTGCCCCCCTCCTTATTTAATGGACACAAAAATAAATTTTATTTATTTATTTTTATGTGGTGCTGAGGATTGAACCCAGTGCCTCACAAGTGCAAGGCAAGCACTCTACGGCTGAGCCACAGTCACAGTCCCTCCCCTGCCCTTTTTCCATCTAAGAAATTATTTCTGTCTCCCAAGGCAGGTTCTTAGAAACAAACAAACAAACATGGCCATGATGCGGCAAATTTATAATCACAGCAATAAAGTAAGAAGATCACTTGAGTTCAAGAGTTGAGACCACCGAGACAACACAGGGAGACCCTGCCTCAAAAACAAAAAAAGGAAGAAAAAATCCTCTGACTCATCTGATAGTAAATCATAAGACCCTGATTCCAGAAAGGGTCCTGCCCCATTCCTGGAAGAAGGGAATATTGCTCAGACAGGCAAGAAGATGGGCCTTGCTGGATTTCCCTACTCAGTCTCTTGGCATGAAATCATACCCTTTTTATCCAATCACATTTCTACATGGTTGACCATGCTTCAGTCATGCTTATATAATGAAGTCTTAGGGCTGGGGTTGTGGCTCAGCAGAAGAGTGCTCGCCCAGCATATGCAAGGCACTAGGTTCAGTCCTCGGCACCATATAAAAATAAATAAATAAAATAAATGAAGTCTCCATCAAAACCCAAAAGGACAGGGTTCAGAGAACTTCTGGACAGTTGAACACATGGGAGCTCCACGCTGTGTCTCACACCTCATCCTATGCATCTCTTCATTTATATCCCTTCTAACATCCTTTATAATAAATCAGTAAATGTGCATATGTGTTTCTCTGAGTTCTATGACTTGCTCAAGTAAATTAATTGAACCCAAGTAGGAGGTTGTAGGAACCTTGACTTATAAGCTAGTCAGTCAGGGGTACAAGTAAAACAATCTGGGGCTTGCAACTGGCACCTGACAGAGAAGCCCCCCAACCTGTGGGATCTGACATTCTCTCCTTGGATTACAGAGTGCTCAGCTGGTATGCTGCAGAATTCATTGCTTGCTTGCTTGCTTACTAGTGGGACAAAAACCCCACACCTTTTGGGGTCACATAAGTAATCTGTGTTGTGAGAGTACAAGAGGTTAAACTGAGCTTATTTTTCTTTCTGTTGCCTTAAAAGTACTTTTGGATTTATGTATAATTTTTAAATTAAAATATGTATTATTTATGTATTATAATTAAAATAACATATGTGTTAGCAGAACATCTTTATCATAGGTGCTCTGTAAGAGCAGTTCTAAAGTCAATGAAAGGCATACAACTAAAAAGGGATAGAAAAGAAAATCAGCATGACTTTTAAATAAATAACATGATGGGCCAGTGATCATTAATTCCACTGAATTTAAAACAAAACAAAACAAAACAAATAGCCTAGCATGTGCAAACCCCTGGGTTCAACCCCCAGCACCGAATAATAAAAAAAAAATTTTTAAATTCTCAGAGTCAGTGAAAGCAGAGTTGAGCAATGTCCGTGACCACACATATGCCAGCAATAGTGGAGATTGAAAAAAAGATCCATGGACAAGGTTTTATAGTGTAACACCTAAGCTTAGCAAATAATGGTGGCTTCTTATTATCTGCTGAATGAAGTCTCATTTCTTTAATTATCAGTTCTGTAATCTAATCCTGCAGCTAAGCCAATGTCAGTTGTTCAAATAAAGCTTTTGCCAGTAAAGTTCCTGCCCAACACCCATCTCTAACTTACTGTTCTCTGCTTAAAATAGCAACCCAGATTTATGCATCACTTTACAAAGCTTTCATTTTTATGTCCATTTCTCTACTTTCTAGCATTCAAATCTTAGTAGGCTTCTAAACCTAACTCTATCCCCAATCTGTTCTCCTAGTTGCATCTGTTCAAGTTGAATTCTCTGAACGCCTTCAGATTTGACCACTCAATTTAGTCTTCATGTTCCATTTATGGTTGCATGAGACGAGATTATCACCCTAAATAAACTGTTATATTTCAGTATTCCTGCATAGTTTGTGTTCCAACTGTTGAGTCAATTCAACTGTTGATTCAAAGAAATGTCTGTTGAATAAGGAGAGAGACATTGAGAGTGACAGGAAGAGAGAGAAGCAGAGACAAAGAGGAAAAACTCAGAAAGACAAAACATAGCAAAAATAACAGAGACAAAAGTAAGCTAAGAGAAATAACTTGGTAAAAATACAAACAGGAATTATAAGACCCAAGAAATGTCTCAATTACAGACTATGTCACAAATTGCCTATACCTGCACTAGTTCACTCTCTTTCCCACCCAGTGCACTGTCAGAGCACGTTGACTCACCAGAGCAGGAAGACATTCTCAGTGTTCCCTTCTTCAGACTGCCTGCATATCCCATTGTTAGCATCTTACAAATGATATACATGTTATCTTTTCTAAAACCTGATGCAAAAGCTAACACATCCTTTGCAAGACTGAAGCTGTAGGCCACACTCTGCTTAATGACAGGGAGACGCTCAACATAATGCACCAGATGGGCTCATTGTTGAGTGAATATCAAAGTATTCTCACACAAGACAAGACAGTCATTTGACATGACCTCTTGATACAATCAAGAGACATGGTAAACACAAAATGCCTGAAGCTGCTGCAAGTGTAACGTGGCATACACTTTTACAGTAAACTTTTTTTTTTGTAAGTAGGAGCCCAGTATAAAATAATGATAAAAATTATAGTAATATACAAACATACTTGTTTATTATTTGCATATTATGTTTCATATGTAATTGTATATGGCTGGCAGCAGCACAGCAAGCTTCTTATACACTGCATCTCCACAAATGTGTGAGTAATGTGCTGTACTACGACATTATGACAGCTGCAATATCACCAGGTGATAGAAATCTGTCAGTCTATTATAAAATCTTTTGGGATCACCACAGTATATTCAATCAGTCATTGAACTAAATGTCATTATGTGGCACATGACTACATATCTACATATGTAGCTGGTACATATGCTATAATGCAATCACCAAAATTAGGAAAAGAAATAATCTAATAATCTAGCCATTTCATAAATCCGCCATATATTTCCTCATTCTAAAAACGTTTTCAGACTATATGGGATAATGGGCTTGTTCTTATTAAGAAAATAAAGAACTGAAAATAAATTACTTGCTATTCTAAAAACTACCAATGTTACATATGTAAAGAAAACTGCTTTTAGCTCTAAGAAATTCTTATCAAATAAAGATTTTTTTATTGCAAAATCTAATTGAGACAAGACAAGCCTCTACATTAGGGTCTCCAGAACCAACATAATTTCATCATCTGAAGCCATTTTTGTTGGATGTCCGGTAGCTTCTTTATCATTTCACTAAACTGGTACTATTGCTCACACTCCACCCCCCCACCCCCCACCCCCGCCACAAAGCCAAGGCTTCCTGGATAGTCTAGAAGGTTTACAGGACAAAAATGGTTACTAAAGTTACATTAGGTCATACAAGCTGAGCACCCCTAACCTGGAAACCTGAAACCCAAATACTCCAAAATCTGGAACCTTGAGTATAACATGATGTTCAAAAAGTTTCAGATTTTAGATTTGTGGATTAGGTAGCTCTGCTGGTAAAATGCCTGCAAATAGTCTAAAATCTGAAAACTTAGAAATCTGAAACTTCTGATCTGAAGCATTTCAGGTATAGGATAGTGAATCTGCACTAGCTTCTAGTTATTTTTAAAACTGTCAAAGGATGAAAGAAGTCTACCCATTCTTCTATCATTTCTATTTTCAAAAGGAAAGAGTTATGGAAGGAAACCAAAACTCAAGAGTAAATATGGATACAGCGAATATTATAGGATTTCTAATTATATCTTGCAATTATTTAGAGTAAGATGCCAACTAAAGATCAGTGTTAGAAATTAAAAAAATAATTCCCTAACATGCTTACAAATAGAACCCAGTTTCTGTACTTGCGTCACAATTTAAATGATCTTTTGCTTTCCCCTGTAAAGGCTTCCTCACTCATAGCCCTTCCTGTTGGAGACTGCCATTCTTTCATATACCCAATCCTCCCCCACATGCTTTTTTTCTAAGCCAGGAAGTATTACCTCAGCCCTGTATGCCTATGATGCTCAAATTCTCAACTAAAGGGTCTGCATTTTATTCTAATTGTACAGCTCATTTGAGAATGCACATTTTCTTTGTCCTTGTTTTTTATTTATTTTGCTTTACGGCTTCTTTTTTAAAATTTTTTTAATACCTTGATCTTTCTTTCTTTCTTTATTTATTATGTGGTGCTGAGGATCGAACCCAGAGCCTTGCCTGCGCCAGGCAAGCACTCTACCGCTGAGCCACAACCCCAGCCCTTCATGGCCTCTTTCTTTGTGGTTCTCATTGTAAATGACCTCAAATTCACTGGTGATTGGGAATGGCGTAAGTAACTAAACAAAATAATCGTGTAAGACTTCTTTCTTAAAATACATATATGCTTTCAGTTTTAAGTATAATCACCTTGGTATCAAGCCAATATATCAAAAGCAACATATTCTAAATGGAACTTCCCCCACCTCAAACCTGCTTTACAGTCTGTTCCCTATTAGTAAGTTGTCCAAATTAGAAGCCTCGTAATTGTTATCAAAACACGCCTCATTTGTACAATCAATGTATAATCAGACACTTGCCTGTTGATTATATATCCAACTTAATATTCCTACTATGTCCATTCTTTACCTCAATTACCTTAACAGCCTCCTATGGGCTTCCATGCACATGGTCTATCTCCATATAGCTAAAGTTATTTTTCTATGTCCATATGGCCACTGAAGTTATCTTTCTAAAACTTACATAAACCCAATCCAGTCCCATCCAACCTCTTGATAACCTTCACTCTGACACTATCACAACCATCATCCATCCAAGTCTTATCCCACACACCACAAGAACTGAACAATCTTTATCATGTGTTGACCTTGAGAGTCCTGACTCATGTTATTCCCTGTGCCTAAAATTATTCCTCACACTTGAATCCTTTGACATCGAGTAAAAGCATTATAGCCTCTCACCTTAGTTCCATGGCACTTGACCTATAAATCCTGTCACACATATCATAATCCATCATAATCATTCATGTACATCCACCCTTTCCATCTCATCTTGAGATTCTCAAGGACAGAGAAGTTAAGGACAGAAGTTACTCATCTCCAATATTCAGCAACATACCAGGCACACAATAGGCTCTCAAGTATTTATAAAGTGAATTAATTAATGTGTATGCAGATAACTGGTTTAATACAAAAGTAAAAAAAATTGAGTAACTTATCCCTCTAAGTTATCCCTCTAAAGGGATAACTCAGACTGTGAATCATCCTGAAAATATCAATCCTGAATTTTCATGAGGCAAAAAATAACTAAATTTAAAACCTATATTATACATTCTCCATTAGTAGGATAACAGTAATAAGTAAGCACTTTGTGATATGATAAATACACACTATGGTTTTGTTTACAAATTCTGGTTCCCTAAGGCAGATCATAAAAACTCGAATTTTTGCTGCTTTTCTCTGACCTACCTTGTTTGATAGTACATGTTAATATCCCTATGTATAAGGGGTTCTGTTCCTAACTGGGAGGATGGAATGCTGTACAGACAGGCCAAGAAAAATCTGAACAGACAGGCCTTGCTCAGTTTCCTACCCAGTCTATCAGCATTATATATGTGAAGGAGTCTCCAAAAAATCTAAAAGGACAAGGTTCAGAGAGCCTCCAGATAGCTAAAAATGTGGCGCTTACTGGAAGGTAACAGAGAGGGCATGGAAGCTCACTTTTGCCATAACTCACACTATGCATCACCATCCTTTGTAATATTCTTTATAATAAACCAGTAGACATAACTATTTTTCTGAGCTCTATGAGCTGCTTAAACAAATTCATCAAAGCAGTGAGTCAGAAGCACAGATAAAACTACAGGGGGCTTGTGATTGCCATCTCAAGTGGGGAACAGAGGGCTGCCTTGGGGAATGAGCCCTTAACCTATGGGATCTAACAATATCTCTAGGTAGAGAGTGTCAGAATTCAATTGAAATACAGGACACGCAGCTGGTATCTGATGCAGAATTAGCTGCTTGCTAACCGGTAAGGGGAAAAACTCTCATACTTTTTAGGATCACAAAAGTAACTTGTTGTGAAAATATAATGGGATAAAACAGTTTGAGTTGATTTTTCCTCTATATCCCCAAATTTTTATGACATTTACTTTCCTATGAGGTAGACAGGACAAATATTATAATTCCCATTTTATAGATGAAAGAGAAAACAGTTCACATGACTTGCTCAGGGTCAAAGTTAATAAGGTTTAGATCTAGAACTAAACAGTCATTCCCTAAATCCAGGTCTGGTGTCTGTTTTGCTATTAAAAATTCACCATAATCTGCAAACTCTTGTTCTATCACCCTTATCTCTTCTGCAAAGGGATTAAAACATAATTTTTAACTAAAAGTCAAACTGCAGAAAAATAAAACAGCCATGTTTTTGGTCTGAGGTCAGGACTAACCTGTTATCCTTGCACACAGTCACTTTGTCTCCCCCAGGTATCAGCTTCTTCTGTTCAATTACTCCATAGCTTTCTCGGCAGATCTACATTTAAGGCAGAAAAGACATGCTTCAATTCTGTTTACCTCTTACCTTTCTAGAACCCAAATTACTGAGACACGCCTTCAGAACAACTTTAACTTAGTGGCTATTATCTCAGAAAATTCACGGGAGAGGATTAAGAATACGAGTCAGAAAGTGTCAGCACCTTTAAAAACAAATTTTAAGTTACAGAGTTGACAATAAATGTAATCTATAAGAAAATGGCATGAACTCTAGAAAAGAAAAACACTGGCTGTGTCTGAAGTAAAGAGAATTAATGCTTTTATAATTTTCCTAAGTGCACAGATTAACCCTTTATCCAACATACTTACTGAACTCCTATAACACAAGATACTATGAGTAAAATAATTTGATTCAGGGAAATCTAACTTTGTTGTTTAATTTGGAGAGGAACTAATGTTAACTATGACTTTTAAGCATGATGAAAGAGAGACATAATTTTTGTTGTTGTTGTTTTTTGTTTGTACTGGGTGGTTGAACCCAGGGGCACTTAACCACTGAACCACATCCCCAGTCCTTTTAAAAACATTTTTATCTTGAGACAGAATCTTGCTAAATTGCCTAGGGTCCTGCGAAGTTGTTGAGGCTGGCTTTGAACTTGTGATCCTCCTGCCTCAGCCTCCTGAGTCACTGGTATTGCACGCATGTACCACGTCATCAAGCCACATTTGCTAAGTACAGGAATTCTTTTTAAATTTTTTTTGTAGTTATAGATGGAAAGTATACCTTTATTTTATTTGTTTTTAGGTAGTGTTGAAGATTGAACCCAGTGCCTCACATGTGCTAGGCAAGTGCTCTGCCACTGAGTTACAGCCCCAACCCAAGTATAGGAATTCTTACTGTGAAATTGAGGCAGAAAGTTTCCTCAACGTCTTCACCAGGGTAATCCAAAAGCTCTTGAAGACTCCTAATCATAGAATAACAAAAGGAAAAGAGGCATATCAGGCATTGTAATAGAGTTTTTAAACTCACTTATATGTCCAGAATGTTTGCGAGGAAAAACTAAGCAAGAACATTCTAGACAGAACATCGAGTTTAGACTAACAGAAAACTATGTACCTATGAATTGAAGACAATTATTCAGATGGATTTTTATATGACATACTTGTGTTCTCTTAACCCTGGTATTGCTTGGAAGTATATACATGAAGATGTGGTACTAAATGGTCCTAAAGACTTGCCTTCTGCCCATTTGCATTAGTAAAATAATCCAACCTTCATTTAAAAAAAAAAGCCAGAAGTTTACCTCATCAATTTTGGAATATTAATAGTGGCTATGAGCTATAATCTCAAAAGACACAATCCCAAACACTGTAATCTCTAATGCTGAAATCCTGAAAGATCAAAATCTCTAATGTCTAAAATTCCAAAAAATATAATTCTGAAAAAAATAATTTTAAAAATTTTAGGGCTGGGGTATAGCTCATTAGTAAACATGTTTGCCTAGTATATGCACAAGCCCTGGGTTTGATCCTCAGCACTGCAGGGAAAAAAAAATTAATGAAAGTATTTATACACACATTTTTAAAAAGCCAATTTGATTGATTGTGGTGCTGGGGATAGAAACCAGGGCCTCATGGATGCTAGGCAAGTGTTCTACTACTGAGCTACAAACCCCAAAATCTAAGATATTTATTTGTACTTCTTTGTTTGAGAAACAAAAACAGTACACTTTACACACAAAAAAAACAAATTGGCAATAATGCTCATATTTTTGCAAGCACACATACTCAAATAAATAAAAAAAATTTGTACAAGTATTATAGTTACAAGAAAACAAAACATTTATAAAGATATAGATAAAAAATGACGTATATAAACAGATTATGATGATTGGTAATTATGAGCATCCAGCTTTATAGCTGCAGCCATTTAAACTATGGTAACAAAAAACCTAAGTCTTTTGAGGAGATGGATCAAAAACTGCAATGGGTCATCACTACATTTACAGCAACCCAAAGAACTAAGACTTTGAGAAATTTACAAATGCAGGTGAGCAAAAAGGAGATCTCTTCATTTACTGAGGAAATTTCAAGATTTTTTATGTACATGCAGAATGCTAACACAATGTCAATGTTGTGATAATATACTTTCATGGAGTCCAATTTACAAAAAAATTGCATAAAATGAATAAACTCTCGAAGTCTCTGCATGATTTATACATACAGTATTGGAAATCATGCAATGATGAAATATACATAAGCATAGAGAATTGTAAAGAAAATCATGCTGACAACTTAAAATAGTGGAGGGGGGCGAAAAAAAAGTAAAAAAGCCTGAAGGCTGCAGGTATAGGTCCTAGAGTCCTGAGGCCAGTGAGCCTACAGTTCTACTGTCCCATCTCAGAACAGCTGGCTCTCAGTACCTGTTCTCTCCAGGGCCCACCCCTACCAGTGGCTGGCTTGGCCAATGCCCACCCACACTGAGGGCATATCTTTTCCACCTCATCCACTCAGACACACATTAATCTCTGGAAACACCTTCACAGACACATCTTTACCAGGTTCCTAGGCATTCATTATGCCTAATACAATGCAAGTATCCTGCTGATGACTGAAAATGGACTAAAGCCCGGGAGTGTAGCTCAATGGTAGAATGCTTGCCTAACATGCACAAGGCACCGGATTCAATCTCCAGTAGGAGAGAGAAAGTAAATGCATTAATTATATTCCAGAATCTAGATTTCTACCCATCCCTGTTATATTGCTTTCTTTCTCTTTTTTTGGCCTCAACAGGAATTGTGGTTTTCAGGATTTCAATCTTCGAGGACTGAAATTTTCAAAATTTTGGACTTTGGGGACTTTACCATTCAGGTTTATAGTTTTTGGCATTATGGTTGGCACCACTTAATGGCTTATTAATGCAATAGGCACTATATCATAAAGATACTTTATTATCTAATAAATGAACTAATGAACACTGAAGAAACGTACCTTTTTTTTTTTTTTTTTGGTAGTACTGGGGATTGAACCCAGAGGCGTTTTAGAACTAAGCTACATCCCCAGCCCTTTTAAAATTTTGGTTGTAGATGATGTGTACAATACCTTTATTTGATTTATTTATGTGGTGCTGAGGATCAAACACAGACAAGCACTCTACCATTGAGCCACAACCCTAACCCACTTTTAATTTTTATTTTGAGACAAGGTTTCATTAAGTTGCCCAGGCTGGCCTCAAACTTGCCACCCTCCTGCCTTAGCCTCCTGAATTTCTGGGATTACAGAAGTGCGCCACCATCTCTGGCAAGAAAAAAAATGTACTCTTAAAAGAAGAATGTGTTTATATCAATAGTAATCATATCCCAACTCCCAAGGGAATACATTCTTAAAACTAGACCTCATTCACACTTTCTTCTTTAGTGAGCTTCTCTCTTGCAATTCCATCAAGAGTTGCCCAGAATGAAAATTCCTAATGTGGAATTTAATCTGTTACCAGGTTAACCAGCCAAAATCATTACTTAAAATATATAATTCTCAGCCAATCTGGCAAAGCAAATAGCACACACTTCTGTCATTCTCCAGCCTTCTCTTTTAGTAATCAAAAAATTAACACTGCCTGGTTCTTCTCTGCCTTTTTTTTTTTTTTTAATTCCTTCTAAATTTTCTCTTTCTAAGTGTTCCAACCCCTCCTACCCTTGATGATTTCTCAGTTCTGGTGTTTGTACCAGAGATGTTAACAGTCTCATTTTTACCTTAAAGACCACCTTCCTTTTGCCATAAAAGATGATGTTCTCTCCCTGCTAAAGCTGTCTTTTTATGTACTTGATCTTATGTTGACTAAAAATCAATATAGAGCTGGGCATGGCGGCACACACCTGTAATCCCTGCAGTTTGAGAGACTGAGACAGTAGGATGTGAGTTCAAAGCTAGCCTCAGCAATTTAGCGAGGCCCTAAGCAATTCAGTGAGGCCCTAAGCAATTCAGCAAGACTCTGTCCCTAAATAAAATATTAAAAGGGCTGGGGATGTTGCTCGGTGATTAAGCACCCCTAGGTTCAAAACTTGGTACCAAAAGAATCAATGTAGAGAAACTCAAGAATACAGGGGGCTTTAAGATTCAGAAAGAAAATGACATAAGAGCATGGCCTCACTACTTTGTAAAATAGTCTGATAATTTCTCAAAAGGCTAAATATAGAACTATGAACCAAAAATTCCATTCCTAGTATATACCAATAGTAATTAAAACTTATGTCTACACAAAAGCTTATACACAAAAGTTCACAGCAGTATTATTTATAATAGCCCCCAAATAGAAACAACCTAAATGTCCATCAACTGATTTATTTGGAAATTAAAAATGAAATAAAAATTCATGCTACAACATAGATAAACCTTGAAATTATGCTGTGTGTATGCATATATGCAGAACCACATACTGTATGATTCCATTTGTGTAAAATAGCCAGAACAAGCAAGCTGACAAGGCAGGAAGTAGATAAGTGGTTGCCTAGAGCTGGAGTATGAAGATGCTCATAGATGATGACAAAGGAGTGCCAGGTTTTGTTGTTTTTTTGTAGGGTGATGAAAATATTCTAAAAGTGACTATGGAATGGTCATAAACTCTGGATATAATAAAGTCACTGAACTGTATTCTTTAAATGGATACTGTATAGTAAGTGAATTACATGCCAATAAACTTTTGTTTTAAAGTCTCCTTTTTCAAATATTCCCTCTGTTTTCTCTGTACTATGACAAGTTTCAAAAGGTTCAAATATTTGTTTTAGGATAAGAAAGCAGAGATGTTGTCTTTCTGGGCAGCTATAACCTCTTTTATTTTTTTCCTCTGTCCTTAAAAGTGATAAAGATAGTGCTTCTAGAAACTAGCTGTGCGGCTACAGCTTAAGCAAAGCACATACAATGGACTATGAGGGTTCCATAAACTCAAACTTATGCATATGGTACTTTCAGCCTTTACTCCCTGAGCCAAAGGCAATTAAATCAGTTCCTCACACCCATCTGCATATCTTTTAGCTTTGTACCTTCCTTCAGTGGGTGACAGTTCCTTTAAATCTTCCAAGCCAGGTTTTACGTTCAGTAATTTTTTGTAAAGAGCCAACGGGAAATGGAGATCAACCACGGTGGAGTTGTAGATAGCTAGTCCACAGGTTATGCCAATCAAGTGAAACCAGTTGTGCTCTACAAAACACTTTTAGAATGTACATAAATGTGTTAAAAAATAAATGCAGCATTTGCAGCCCTTAAAACACTCTACTATTTACCTGAAAAGTTTCAGCATAAAGTAATAAAGATCACATTCATATTTAGTTACTTTCAAGGCAAAGAAACACCCCTGACATCTACTATCCCCAAAAGATGCAAGGCAGACAAAGTCAAGCATTTATGGATCTTCTAGTGATAAAGAGAACAGCTTACAGTTATCTAGAGCACAGTTATCCACAGAACTCTCAGCAATGATGGAAATACTCTATTTTATGCTGCCTATTATGGTAGCCACTTGCTACTAAACACTTGAAATGCAGCTGGTGCAAAAGCAAATGAATTATTATTATTTAAGTTTAATTTAAATTTAAATTTAAATAGCCACATATGGCAGGTGACTACCTTTTGGGACAGTGAAGATCTGGGGATAAAACTCCGGAAAAATAAATAAATAAATTATAGACTGAATGAAAATGGCTTTTAAAATTTTGCTTTCCTACTAAATTTTTAAAAATAAAATATGTCTATGTGTGCATGTTAATCAATACACATTGTTATTAAAATACAACATTTGAGTACTGACTTTTCACACATCACAAAACCAACTTCTTTGTCACACCATATTCCTTTTTCCCTTCATGGGTAGTAAGACCTGAATCTTACTTACTGGGAATGGCAATGGGGTTCATGGCTGACAAAATGCAATATGAGGTCCAGACAACAGGCAAAAAATAAAGATTGGATACATTAGATATTTTAAGTTCTTTTCTTGAAAATTTATTTATTTTAAATTATTATTTCTTTACTATGCTTCCCTTTCCAAGTTAGAAACCAGGGCTGGGAATGTGGCTCAGTGGTAGAGCACTTGCCTAGCATGCAGGAGGCACTTCAAAAAGCAAACAAATGATAAACAAAGAAAGTTTAACGCAATCCATTTGCGACATTATGAACTTACTGTATCTGAAAACCACAAGAGATGTGACTCCTGATAGTAGGTAAACATTCCATAGATGGGATTCAAAAGTTCTTTTAACAACAAAAGAAAGAACTCCTTTGTAACACCACCAGCATCAACTGCTTCTTCCCCATCAAAGATTACCTTAAAATCATGAAAATAGAGTTAATATTTCAGGTAAATCTATGACAAGTTTCATCTTTTTTTTTCCCTCTTTTCAGGAAGATTCTCTTCTAAGGTCAGGACAAAGAAGGAAGACATAATGGGCTATAACCAATGCAAGGAAAACTCCAAGGTATATCCGCTGGTGACGGCTGCTGGCATAAATGTTTAACAAGGCACTTATAGATGCACACAATTTTTACTAGGTGCTCTTTAAGATACAAAGAAACTCAGAAGTTTAGCACATGTTCACAGAAAGTCTACCACCTATTCAAGGTGAGTAAGATAAACATAAAAGAAGTACTAAGTTGGGCACAGTAGTGCACACATGTAATCTCAGTGACAGAGGAGGCTGAGGCAGGAGGATTGCAAGTTCAAGGCCAGCCTCAGCAACTAGCAAGACCTTAAGCAACTTAGCCAGACCCTATCTCAAAATAAAAAATAAAAAGGACTGGGGATGTGACTCAGTGATATAGCACCCCTGGGTTCAATCTCTGGTATCTCCCCACCTCAAAAAAAAAAAAGGCCATTTTATTTTCAAAGAGTAAAATATATAATAAGAAGTAAATGTTCTGGAACACAGAGAAAAACAATGGTAAACTTGAGTAAAAGAATACTTTCTGAAAGAAATACTCTCAACAGGATTCTTGAAGTCACGGAAGCATGTGGAAAGGAGGAAGGCATACTAAGCAGAAAGAAAGAGGGGCTCCATGAATGGCTATAAATAGGCATGTTGGACCCATAATGGTCATTAAGAGTAACAACTACAGCAAACCAACAAATGACACTGAGTTTACCACATGCCAGGACTTAAAAAGCTATTAACCTAAACTTCAAAACAACCTTATGTATAAAAATTATCATCATCCCCATTTTACAGATAACAGCTCAGGTTCAGAGCTAACAACAATATTTGAAATAGCTTATACTGTGGATGTATTCAACTCTGTCTAAAGCAGGACAAGAATAACGGTGGGGACAAATACTAGGACTCTGATTGCACAGATGCCAGCAGGAGACAACTCAAACACACTACAAAGCAAGAACGGCCCCATCTGGGTTAGTGATTGAAAGTAGCAATAAGAAGAAAAGCAGCATCTAAATATAAACCAGAAGTTGTAGGAAGAACAACTAGGCAAATTGATGGGACTTATTAGACATTTTGAAAAGCATAACAATATTATGGAAATAATCAGTTTCATTTCTTGCTTATTATGTTTCTAAAACCAGTGTTTACAACAGGAGTGGAAATAAAGATATGGAGATACTTTTAAACAACTTGAAATAACTAGAACATCTACTGTACACCAAGCATCATGCAAAGCCCTAGTAATACAATAAGGAGTAATACAAACATGTATGATCTAAGGGAAAAGATAATTTCTTCATTTAATAAGTTTAGATTGCTAAATTTACCTATCTTCATAAGTCCTGTACACAATTTCACACCTTTACATTTTCCTATTTTATCTTCTCTTAAATCTCTAACAATCAAATCTTCCTAGGTACCCAGTTGAAGCTCTATTTTTGTTGTTGTTGTTTGCTTATCTTTAGTCTAAAGAGAGTATAAGAAAGACAGCAGAAACAAAGTCCTATCATTCTTTGAATAATCCACTAGTATTTTTAATCTGATGTTACGTTGAGATGTTTGGTGATTTGACAGGAGGAAGTGATAAAATTCTTGTAAAATGAAAGAAAGTAATGATTTCACTTCACAATTTTAATAAGATCTTTGCTGTTTTCACTGCTTAAAGAAAACTTATGAAGGTATTTAGAGAAATACACTAAAGCAGCTCACTTTGAGAGGCTTTTTCAAATCAATATCAGAATGAATGCTCAACTCTCTTAGGGCATCACCAACGAGGTTATTCCTGCGAACGTGAAGGACCAGGAAGGGGCTTCTGGCCAGCAGAGGCTCCAGAGTGAGAAGCATGAAGACGTTCTGCAGATTGGCTCCATTGACTGCCACCTGGAACAGCATGCCCAAAACACAATTACTCAGAGTACCCCTGTGGGTGGGAAGAACAACCTGCTATGCCTTGGCATATGCTCAGAGAGGTACAGCCATAGAGCAAGCTGTGCCTTGGAACCAGAGAAGGCTGACTGCATTCTTTTGTCTCCCACCCACTCCTTCACTTACACATTTTCAAGTTACTTATGTTCACACAGCATACAAGTCTTTCTTACCTGGCTCAGATTAACTGAAACAGTCTATGAATCCTATTATCTATAACCAGGTCCAGAGGAATGATTTAGATTAACTGATTAAGACTAAAATACCAATGTGCTTAAAGAAACATGGCAGAACAGGTAAAGCCATGACTTTTAAAAATGGCAGGAAAGAAACCTAATAATCACTAAAAGGTTAAAAAGTTTTCATTTTGACAAAGGCATCCATTTTTCTGGGAAGGCTTTAAATTGTCAATGTCATGGATATATCACTACAAAAACAGACACACATGAATAGACAGAAAGGCAAAGGTGGAGAGACAGAAAAATAAATAAAGGTACATATGCATCAATAGTAGGAACTGGAAGATTTTGATTGCAACTTCACAAACATGTTTGTAGACTTACAAAATCAATTATGTTTTACCAAAAAAAAGTATTAAAATAAATTAAATAAATCCCTATAACTTAGGTTTCTATTTAATAAAGATCACCAAACTCCACTTAATTATTTCTTTCTCTGTCAGGAGTCAATAAGCTATGATCCCACGGATCAAATGAAGCTTGCTGCTTGTTTTTTGCATATCTCTCCCACTAAAAATGGTTTTTAAACTTATAAGTGATCAGAAGAAAAAAGAAAATCAAAGGAAGGATAACATTTTCTCATATAAATATATATACAATTCAAATTTCAGTGTAGATAAAGTTTTGTTCAAATACTGCCACTTACTCATATTTATTCATTTATTATTGTTTATCACTGCTTTTGTGTAATAACAGAGATGAATTGTGTAACAGAGACCATACAGCTTTCAAAGTCTAAAATATAAACTATGTGGCTTTTACAGAAAATATCTGCCACCCCTGATCTATATAAATGTGCATTCATATATGTGTATTAAAAATACATATAAGAGGATGTGAGGCGAAGGGGAGGAAAAAAAATAAGAGAGAGTGAGATAAATGAGTTATGGTAGATGGGGTAGAGGGAGGGGAGGGGAGAGGGAATAGGAAGGGGATAGGAAGGGCAGCAGCATACAACAGACACTTGTTTGGCAGTATGTATAAACGTGGCTGTATAATCAACACGATCCTGCAATCTGTACATGGGGGGAATAATAAGAATTCATACCCTATTTGAAAAAAATGTATGATATATGTTATGTCAAGATCAATGTAATGTTTTGAGCAACTAATGAATTTCTGATGTTTAAAAAAAAACAAATTGAGGAGATATGGGATTGATAACATTGAAGGGGTTTAGAATATGCCACCCCAAGGTGTACCATTTTGGTCTGTTGACAGTTTTGATCTGAAGGTACAAAAGAAAGAGAAGATATAGGAAAAGCTCTCTGATTTTTCTCTTTCTACCTAGAAGCGAGTCATATAATTTCTCATGAGAAAGGAAGAGAGGAACATCCTCATCACTGAAGATTGGGAGTTGATGCTGAAATGGATCTACTTAATAACTCTTATGGCTATTAGTTTCTGCCATGTAATTCCTAGTCACTATCCCTCAATTTACTTTCCTTAACCCAAGGTCTGTTGTCTTGCCACATTCTCACTATTTATTATTTTTTAAATCTTAAATAAAATATTTAAGCTTTGGGGCCTAAATATAAAATTACTGAAAGAAAAAGTAGAACTTTTTTAACAGTTATAATGGAATCCCACCCAGATATTCCTTTTAGGAAAATTACAACGATGTCTAGAACTTAAACAAAACACACACACATAGTAAAAAGAGGAAATAACTTTTTTAAACATGATACCTGCATCTGTAGTTCAGCATCAGTTTGCAACATTTTGGTCTTAGCTTGGGCATCAAAAATGAAAGGATATGAACAAAGTGTTACAGCATCCTAAAATAAGACATAGTATTGGCAGTATTACAGTATTGTACAGAGAATACTATTAGAAAAATATATAAGTAAATTTTAAAAGAATCATTTACCTGTATTATAGATGATCTAGCCTTCTGTGTAAAGAAAAAAAAAGTCTCTTACGTGGATTATAAAACCTGTTTCTTTTAAGCAACATATTATTATTATTTTAGTTGTATATAGCACACATAAAAATAAAACAAAGGTATTGTGTCTAAGGATAGAACACACATGCCAGGCAAGTGCTATACTACTGAGCTACAACTCCATCCCCTAAAACCTCAATTATTAACCCCCCAAATGTAAACTAAAAAAATAAAATATATAGCCAGGCTCAGTGGCACACCCCTGTAATCCCAGCAGCTCAAGAGTCTGAGGCAGGAGGATCTCAAGTTCAAATTCAGCAACAGCGATACACTAGGCAACTCAATGAGACCCTGTTTCTAAAATACAAAATAGGACTGGGGTTGTGGCTCAATGGTCAAGTGCCCCTGAGTTCAATTCCCAGTACCCAAAATAAATAAATAAATAAAACATAACCTATCTGACCATTCAGCCATCGAACTAACACTACTTCAACAGCTGGCTACATTTCAATAGAAAAGAATAGATGCTTTGATGGACACAGAAAAAGAGTTAAAAAATTTGTTTAAAGTTTTAAAGGATCTTTAAAGGCCATTTCACTAACTGTTTATAATTCACAGCATTAATAATGAAACCTAATTCTAAAACAGGTGATTCACAACCTTGATTTCACAGGTTAATTTTGCTGGGTAAATTGAGTTATCTCTTATTTGAAAAACATTTCAAAAAAATGTTTTGAATTTTTTTAGGTTTTGGAATATTTAAACATATATAAATGAGAAATCTCAGGGATGGTACCCAAGTTTAAACATGAAATTCATTTGTTTCAGATACATCTTATAGGCCTAGCCTGAGGTAATAGTGTACAAGTTTCACAGTGCAAAAATTTCAATTGTGACATCATGTTGGCATTAAAAAAGTTTCATAGTTTTGAGCAACTATTTATTCAGATTTGGGATGCTGAACCTGTGATAAAAATTACATTTTACTTTTAGCGTATTCCATGTTCCATCGCACTCACATAGGAGAAACCACGTTTGTAGAAAGAAAAGATATCCTGGTTCAGCACTTAGACCAGTACTTTGCCTGTGGAAGATACTCCATGAACATGTGAATGGATTTTTGTGGGTAAAGAACTTAACAAATACGACCACAATAAAGTATATCTAACAGGTTATGTTTTAGTTTCATATGTCAGATAAAAGAGAAATCCATTGTGAAAATTTGTCAAGTTAGTAACATTTGTTACATAATCTAACAGAAACAACAACAAAAATATTGACAACATAGACCATATGTTGATCTGTACCAATATTTCTCCAACAAACATAACCATGGGTTTGTTCTGAAATCTGAAAGTTTGTTTTTTTTTTTTTTTTGGTACCAGGGATTGAACTCAGAGGCACTCAACCACTGAGCCACATCCCCAGCCCTATTTTGTATTTTATTTACAGACAGGGTCTCACACTGAGTCGCTGAGGCTGGCTTTGAATTTGCAATTCTCCTGCCTCAGCTTTCGGAGCCACTAGGATTACAGGTGTGTGATACAGCACCCAGCCTAAGAGTGGTTTTTTTAAAAATGATTTCCTAAACATAATACAAACACATTCTGAATGACTTCCTCATAATTATGTTACCACACAATTTACATTTATTTTAGTGTCTACCGACAGTGCCACATAAATACTTAATTGTTCAAGGGTAATGAGAAAAGCAGTCTTGCCAGGAAAATGCTTCACTTTCAAAGAAAAGGCCAGGCTTGCTGCACGAATGAGGTTTAACAGCAGATGAGAGGAGAAAGGAGCTGAGTCATTCCAGGCCGACAGGCAGTGAAATTTAGGAGCTACACCTGAGAGTGTAGGTGCTCCCCATCCACAATGCAAGAGTGGTTAGGTTTTACCCTCCACATGAAGTCAGTGAGGTTAATGTGCATTTTATTCATTTTAATAATTGTTTAAATACCACATGAATAAGAAATGTAAACTTCCTTTTGTGTTTATATCAAAGGAACTTAGGTTGCTTTTGCCAAAAGCAATGACACTGGCCTGCAGGCCAGTGGGAAACTAAAAGCAAGATAAACCTGACATTTCTACCTTCATTTTGTATCTGTCTCCTTGATTATTTGAATGTTGGGTCAGGTCCCTGATCAGCTCTGCATGTGGGCATGTTAATGACTTATGGAGTATTATACAAGGTCATGAAGCTGAAATTTACCTAACTTATCTTATTCTCCTTTCTAGACCGAGGACACCAAGATAAGAGTAAGATATTTTCAAGATTTGCACGGATGTTTCACTGCCCAACCTTTGCAGTGGCACCTAGAAGTCTCTAGTCATTGCCCTAAACCTGCAATCACACTGAATTCCAGGAACAGAAAAACCCTGGAGCCAGACTGCTCCATATTGAGATCACCCCCCTAAATGGGAGCATTTACCCCATGACAGGAAGAGGCTGCCCCTCTAAAGAGAAGTAGTCACCCCATAGGAACCTGATTGCCTACTCGAGGGAACCAGCCACCTCACAAAACCATTCCATGGCCTGCCTGGTCATGTATGATCAACCAGGCCATGGCCTGACCTGTATCACTTACGTGCTACCAGCTAGGCAAACCACTCAGCCACACAAGCCTACAACCCTGCTTTGTTTCCCTTTTCTATAAAACCTCAAAAAGTTTGTCAACTCCTTGATGACAGATCTTTGGTCACTGTACCCCTTTCTCTGTTCTTCCCAGAAAGACCACACTGATTAAAGCTCCTTTCTTGCACTTTGATTGGCACATTGAGATGGTGGTCAAGCTTAGTCTGCTGAGACTACCAGAGCTGGGGCTTTTGCCCAAGGACTCTCTGATAAGATTTATGCATATTTAAATAAGATCATTTAAAGGCAATTTTAATTAAAATCTACCCAGTTAATCCTTTAGAACTAGATGCCTCTAGGGATCATGGAACATTTCTTTAGACTAAAAAACAATCATCACAGACACTTCCAGTCCAGTGAGACCAGGTATGGACTCTTGTTGAGAGCCACAGCCGAAGGGGCCCCAGCAAACTTCCAGCTGCCAGCAAACTTCCAACTGCCGGCTGATGATTGGCTCACAGCAGCCCCAGCAACATCTAGCTGATTGGCTCCTCTGCGGTGATGCTCATTGGGCTGTTTCCCTGCCCTTTCAGACCACGGAGCTGCTCATTGGGGGACTTTTTTGGCTCCGCCCACATGACCCAGCCAATCGGCCTCAAGAGCAGGAGGATTGTGGGAGGTGGAGAGAAGCTTATGGGGGAGAGAGAGGCTTGTGGAAAGCCGGTGGTGGCAGTTGAGGCTGTGAGGGTTTTTCCTGAGAGGCTGTTTTGTTTGGCGTGTGTGGTTCTAAAAATAAAGTTAGTTTCTTTTGACAAGTGGCTCCTGATTGTGCCCAGCCAGACTGCGGCAGACTCTTGCCTATATAATCCAGGTCAATCAGACTGACTCTCATACCCTACATATCCAATTACTTTGAATTTAAGAACTGGACATACTTAAAAACAACAACTATGCTATAACATACTACCATGGAAAATAAAATTCTTCAAGTTTAGGTACTTACAAAAGATCCTGGGAAATTCAATTAAAACTGATACCAATATTTAGGATTTTCTAATTCTTCTCAAGAAAAATCAGTTTACTATAAGCATTGTTTGTTTATTCTCAAGGGAGACGTTCTTGAATGTATGTTGGTATATAAGACAAGGTAAATATTTGAACAATTTGAATGTAAAAAGTGATGTATAGGAGAAGTAATAATGAAATTGGCTAAGGTAAGAACATAACTATAAATAATTTCCTTAAATAACAAAGTGCTCAAGTTGTTTTTCCAGAATCCACTCAAGGATAGTGCAAAGCCATCTTTTCAAGAATGGACATGCACAAAAGCTACCAGCTCACTAGTCAATGATATTTGACATCACATGCTCAAAATCCCCTATGCCAAACATAATTCCTCCCAAAACAGGTCCTCTTGACCTGTGAAGAGGAATGAGGACTGTATGCACCTGCACAAAAGAACCCTAAAACTTCCCCTTCTAGCCAGCTTCTCCTCTCTCACTCCCTATAAACTCCACATACCAACTTATCAGGGCAGAATATCTGAGCTTACACCTCCTAACCTCCTTCCTAGTTATCTGTACGAAAAAGCTCTTTGTGTGTGCGTGTGCATGTGTATGTGCGTGTGTGTGTGTGTGTGTACAAAAACTGGTGCCATGATATTGGCTTCTATGTTCATCAGGCACTGAGCCTGTGCTTGGATATCACTAACATTGACTACAAAAATACCTGTGGCATTACAGGGTCCTAATATACCTCACATTTGTAAGTACTGGTATTTTTATTGGTGTAATATATTACTTCAGCCATCAGCAAGAGTTATATCTATCTCTTGGCTCTCTCCAGTCCCATTCCTGTTCTGATTCTTTACCATCCTCTCCCTGTGCAAGCCCACCGCAAGCCTCCCTGCCCACCTTTAATACCCACCTTTGGCACTTTTAGTCCCTCTCATCACCCCTCACTGATTCTTCCCTATTCCCCAATGTCAAAGAACCCAGTTGGAAGGTTAATCTCTCTACTAGAAAAGGAGAGGAGTTAAATTGAGACAGGGTCACCATTCTCTCAGTGAGGTGGGTTGGCTGGAATGAAATTCCAATTTCCTCAGATAGGAGCTAGAGCCAAGGCCAGAGAGAAGCTACCCAGAGTTGGTGATCTAGAGATGTCTGCAGGGGATCTACCAAGGCAGGCAGAGAGTCAAGGTGCCAACTCTAAGGAAGGCAAAGGAAGGAAGAGTACTCAATCAAAAGAAGTTGCAGATCTAGATGAAGGTCGCTCTATACTCTATAATTTTTTATAAGTCTATGAATTTTTATATTTGAAAAATAATTTTACTGATTTTCTTTTATAAAGGTTGACTTTAAGAAATTGTATTAATACTGGCATTTCTCTATTATGTGAAATGAGTCTGAATGATGTTTGTGTCACTACTGCTGTTTTTAACCTACAAACATACACAGGCTGATCGGATATGTGATCACCTCATACAAGGCTGTTTCTCATTCACTGCCCCAAAATAATTCTAAAGCAAAGTTAGCGGACCATATTTCAAGGGTTCTGACCCAAAATGGGGTTGCACTGTGACCTAAATTCACTTTTGAAGTGTATGAAATAGAAGCAAGTGAGCAAGTAAATGGTATAGAACTGACAAACTAAGAGTAACTCTTTTTTTTTTTTTTTTTAGTGCCAATGTTTCCTAAATGTGGCTGTGACTAAGGCAGTATGCATTTACATAAAACCTGCAGTCCTGGGGAGGAAACCCAGCCACCTCTTCTTAGGGTTTACTTTGTCTAACATTTGTACAGTACAGGTACTGCCCCCTTGAGCTGCACCTCCTTTAATACAGCAAGATGTCAAGGTTTTTCCAGCTTTTATTTTCAAAGGATTTATGAATTCCTTACCTGTGCTGCCCTCTATGGGAGCTTACAATGAAACTCTGTGCTATTTAGTTTTCAAGCACAGATGATGGCAACTTATTAACTGAAATAAACCATTATCATCTTTTCTTAAAATGAGCAAAACTCAGCCACTTTAGAATGCTATATCTGCACAAATGTACTCTAACCCTTTGTAATTTTTCATTGCAGCCTCTGTACTGAATACACTAGCAAAGACAGACACCTTATCCAGGTCACGTCTCCATCTCTAGTAACCAGTCCAGACATATGACATTCATGAGGTGCTGAAGAACTGCTTAAAATAGTTATTAAGGGCTCATTATGATGCCAAGCACTCTGCCAAGAGGGACCTCTTTCCACGCTTTCTCCCACTGAATTCTCACAATACTATTATAATTTTCATTCACAAATAAGGATGCTAGGCCTACAGAAATTCAGTGACTTGTCTAAGCCATAGCCAGTAGACCAGAGTTGAGATTTGAATCCAGTTCTTTTGATGGAAATATGTGTTCTGTGCTATATACTGCTTTCTCTGGTACCAAGCTAAAAAACTAATTTTAAAAATCCATTTGTAGGGCTGGGGTTGTCACACACCAAGTACAGCTAATTTTGTATCTTTCCTTAATAACTACATTAATTACTGAAGAGGAAATGGGCATCTGTTATCCAAGATCTGATACTTGGTTATAACATTTTGAGAGAAAGGAACTATAACAAATGTTAAAGTTACTAAGTACCTCCATTCAGAGACTATAGTCATGATAATCTAGATTTTTTTTTTTTACATGAGCAATTCTTTTTCAGGATCAAAAAATTTTTTTAAATTATTTTGTGGGTCAAGTGTGTGATATGTCAAGATCATTGTACTGTCATGTGTAACTAATTAAAACAAAAAAAAAGTTATTGAGTTGGTGGAAAATTGTTTATTTTTAAAATTCTCCAGGTATCCATTTCCTCACCTGGAAACAAAGCAATTAGCTTAAATAGTTTATAAGGCTTATTTTAGTGCTTAGAATTTTATTATTTAATGGAAAAAAATCACAAAATGATAAAACAGAAAAGCTTATCTTTCACAATTTCTAAATTCAGTGAGAACACAGTTCATTGGTACCTCCATGTTAAATTTCCCATGTCAACTCATTTAGAATACTAAATATTTAAAAATATTTTGTTTTTTTCAGGGTAATCATAAAATCTTTTAAAATTATAACACCATCAATTTTTAAAATTCTCCACAGAAAAAAATACAACTTTATGTTCAGCACACGTCATATATTATCTGACAAAGAAAACAACCCTGTTTGTTTAATTAAATAAACCTATTTAAATGTCTAGCTTTTGGAGACCACTGCTGAACTCCAAAACTCTACAGGGAAAATATCACCCTAATGTTGCTGATTAATCTGTTCAACTCAAAAAAGACTCACCTCAGATGTATTTGTTGCACATAGCTTCACTAAATACAATAACCAAATTATCATTCTGTTTTCTGACATAACTCAAATTTATACATATGCCACAGATGGGGACTCCTGAAGAGCCTTGCACATATACCAAGCCAGTCTGCAATCAAATTGAGCAGTTCCTTCAATGCCAGGGATGGTAGGCAGGAATCCACAGTCCCCTGAACAAATGTCTAACATATGTGAAAGCTGGGTCAGGGATGTGCAACATTCTCACACAAACAGTCTTAAATCAGAGGTGACATACAGGGTCTAGGCAACTGGCACATGACAACTAAAGTAGGCTGGCTGTCAGAAGACAATAATTAGCAAATGATACATTCCTCGATGTCAGGGATAAATCAATCTGCATTGGGGACTGTGGTACACATAAAGCCTCATCTAAAGAGCCACCACTGAACTCTAGCCAGTTGGTGCCATCTGGGACGACAGGCTGTGTTGCCAGATCTTCCAAGTTTCAAGAAAAGCTGGAAATTCATATTTTCATATGTCTGGATTTTTAAAAATTGTGGTAAAAAATAAACACATAAAATTTACCTTATTCACCATTTTTAAAAGTTCACAGTACTGAGACTATGCATACTGTCATACAATGGATCTATAGAACTTTCTCATTTATAAAACTGAAGCTCTGTGTCCATAAAATAACAACTCCCATTTTCCCCACCACTGGTCCCTGGCTACCATTATTATACTTTCTGTTTCTATGAATTCTGATTACTTCACATAGCTTGATTTTTTTGTTTTATTTATTTATTTTTTAATGTGGTCTTGGGGATCCAACCCAGAGCCTTGCATATGCTAAGTACACACTTTATCACTAAGTTACATCTCCAGCCTCAGACACCTTGATTTTTTAAATGTTGGTAACTAATAAAATTCATAACATTCTGGGTGACTACTCATTTATGACTCCTCATGATAGTTATGATTACCTAAAGCACTTCCAAGTTTCCAGAATGCAAAATTCAACTAGGTGAAAGACAGATATGACACTATCAAAGTCAGACAAATTATATGGTTCCAGTGTGCTTTTCATGTCCTTATTTGTGCTCTTAAAAAAAAAAAAAAAGGACTAAAGGTTTAAAATATACTTTACATGAATTCTTACCATCCCTGCTTGATGCAAGAACCACATGAGGTAGTCTTCCTGAATGTCCACGAGACTGGAAATCTCAGGAATGTAAAATGCATCATATTCCACATGTTTCACTTTAAGATTTACCTGAAGAACAAAGTAAGAACAATTTAACCCAGAGAACGGAAAACCAGTTTCCCAGAGAACATCTCAGTAGGACATTTTACATTTCTATCTATTCACCCCATCTCCACACTGGCTCCTCCTATGCTCACCTTATATAATTTCTCCAAGAGCTTGAGAGCTGCTGTAATATAATTGTTAAACAATACAGGAATTAAGAATGTCTTTCTCCCTCTCAGTAGATAAAGGACTGCTCCTTTATAGAGGTTTATCAGCTTCATGAAATACTTTGGGCATACCTGAGACCACCAGTTATCTTAAGAAAAAAAGAAAAGAACATTTTAATTCATTATCTTGAGCAAGTTTTCTGCCTGCTAGCTAAAAATTCCTATAGCTAAAAGATACACATTAGACTAAATGTAGTTTCCCCAAACTGACTGTAAAAAGAATCCATTAAAACGTTTCTGGAGAGAGCAGCAGCTGTATAAGACTCCCTAGAGTTTTTTTTGTTTGTTTGTTTTTTGTAAAGCTTAATCTGATTTTTTTCAAAGGCTTATATAAAAATTCAATTCCAAGACTGCATGGGAACAAGATACAAATATTGGGGGCAGGAGGCATGTCTACTGTATCTTTCCAAATAGTGTTCATATGTCCTCATGCTATGTCAGCACTATTCTCAGCCATTTCAATCCTACACCAGGATGTAAAGGATGATGTGCCTTAAAAGTGACAGAAACACAGAAAACATTCCTTCCCTCCAACAAGCATAATTAATTGAAAAACTACATTTGCTTCTCTCTAAACATTGCTTTCTCATAATCAAACAAAAAGATTATGCTGCTGTCTTCTATTTTGTTAGGAAGAAACCCAGCCATATTAAAATATTTAGACAATGAAATAATATGATACCTGGGATTTCCCTTAAAATATCCCATCGAAAAAAAAAATAAAATATCCCATTAAAATATAAAAAGGTAGGTTGGGGGGACAAAATAGAAAGGACAAAGTATTGATAACTGTTCAGTTTATGTGATGAGTATCTGCAGTGTTCTCTCTACCATAAGGTATTCCTTTAAATGTCAATAATCAGAAGTTTACAATAAATTAAGCATAACACCGAACAACTCTCATCTCTTTTATGTCATTAGACCTGGAAAAAGAAGTTTTAAAACCCCAAAACTTAAAAGTCAGGTAATATCTCTTCAGAGACTACCATCTTTCTAGCTCATTTCTATAAGAACACCTGAGGAAATGTGCCCCAAAAGGATTTTGAGCTTAAAAAAATTCACTACTAATATATTACTAATGTGTTTGTTATTTGTTTTTATCTCTTGTTCAAACGTGGAAGCAATATGGAAAAGCCAGAAACAGGTCTCTTCACTTAAACGGAGACCATGCTCAAGTAACATCCCAGTCCATCTGGAACACAGAAGTTACTGAGTTGCAATAAACACCTAAAAAAAAAATTACCAGTGGGGGAAAAAAGTAAAAAGCTGGTCGGGTGACAGACTTTCTGTACTTGATTAATAAAAACATCTCAGGCGCTACTCCCATGAGAGACACTCTCCAATTCACTGAGGAACGGAAGGTTCTTATCTCAGCAAAGTGTCCGGAGCCTGCAAAAATCAGTGTGGACTCAACTGTCCTAAAAAAGAAAAACAAAACAAACATTTGGTAAGTCCCCACTAGGTCATTTTCTGCCTCTCCTTTCTTGGAGATCTCTGCATCACCAAAATTGTTCATTTTACTCCCACCCCCTAAAAGAAGGAGAGATACTAATTCTTGAGGCACTATTAACTACACAAGTGGGAGGGAAAAAAGTAGTTTAAAGTTGAATAATCTGACTTTGTGGTATTTTAAAATCAAATTAATCTGGCATTAATCACTTCAAATAAACTAAATAAATGGTTGAATTTGCTCAAATTGCAAACAGGGTTATAGTTAAAACTTAATGGTAAAGAAAGAAAGGTTTAAATGTTAAAGCTCTAAAATGACAACAAATAGATTCTTGAATCTCAATCCACTGAGAGCCAGTGGTTATACCAACAAAATAAACAAGAACAAAACCACTGGTATTAAATTTTAGCACATTCACCTAATACTTTGCTAGGGTTTGTATCCAGTCGCAGAATGGCCATTGCCAAGGGAATAGTCAACGTTATGTAATACTTGGAATCCTGGAGTAGGGGAAACTCAGGTAGTATTAAGTAGATTCTCATTGCTTCAACATCTGGTGGTGAACTTGACAACTGGGGAATCAGGCAACTTTCAAAGCTGTTTAAGATCTGTATGACAGAAAAGAATAAGAAATTCAAACATCCCAGATATCTAGTTAACTTATCTCTAAATTCTTAAGCCATTTGATAGACTCAACTCTTATTCATTGGTCCAGGCTCTCAAAATACATCAGGGAAAAGAAAGGCCAAAAATTCCTACCTATGCAGACCTAATATTCTGAAGGGACAATTCCTCAGAAAGATTAAAGGCAAAAAGAAAGCAAAATGTAGGTCAAATTCCCAAAATGAATATTTATGCAAAATTAAGATGTGTTCAAGACTTGGACTTTTCATCATAACTTTTTTTTTTTTTTTTTTTTTTTGGCAGTGCTGAGGTTCAAACCCAGAGCCTCACACACGCTATGTGAGCATTCTACCACTTAAATATATTCTGCAGTCCATTTTTTTTCTTAAAAGTTCAATTATTCAATTGAAAAAAATGCATTTTAAAGGTATACTCATACATTGCTGGTGGGACTGCAAATTGGTACAACCACTATGGAAAGCAGTATAAAGACTCCTCAGAAAACTTGGAATGAAATCACCATTTCACCCAGCTATCCCATTCTTTGATTTAAATCCAGAGGACTTAAAATCAGCATACTGCAGTGAGACAGCCACATCAATGTTTATAGCAGCTCAATTCACAATGATTTAACTATGGAACCAACCTAGGTTGGCCCTTCAGCAGATGAATGGATAAAGAAATCTGGTATATATACACAATGGAGTATTACTCAGCCATAAAGAAGAATAAAGTCATGATATTCGGGCTGGGGATATAACTCAGTTGGTAGAGTGCTTGCCTTGCATGCACAAGGACCTGGGTTCAATCCCCAGCACCACAAAAAAACAAACAAAATTATAACATTCACCAGTAAATGGATGGTAGTGGAGACTATCAGGTAAATGAAACAAACCAATCCCAAAAAACCAAAGGCCGAATATTTTCTCTAATATGCAGATGGTAATTCACAATAAAGCAGGGAGCACTAGAGAAGAATGATGTTACCTTAGATTAGGAAGAGAGAAGTGAAGGAAGGGGAGAGGAGGGAATGTGGGGATAGGAAAGACAGTAGAATGAAACAGACATTATTACTTTATGTATATATGTGACTGACTGCACAACCAATATGATTCTACAACATGTACACTCAGAAAAAATGAGAAATTATATCCCATCTATGTATATCAAAGTGCATAAATGCATTCTACTGCCACGTATAACCAATTAAAACAAATTTAAAAAAATTTTTTTAAATACACTTTATAAATGTAAGAAACATACCTGTTCTAGAATCATGGAGTGCTGAGAGTTCATTAATTTCTCAAATAATACCCTAGTTGAATTCAGATCAATCCCAGGGATTTTGGGACTTGTTTTAAAATGTTCATCAATCCTAAACAAAACAGAACAGAAAAATATAATAATCATAATCATAATCATCACCATCATCATCATCCCATAGCAAACACACTAATAAAAATCATAAAACAAGTAGATAAAATGCTTTGTCCATTCTGATCAGATTTAAATTTGACCTGGCAGACAAAAATCCAAAAGAATATCATACTTTGGGGAAGCCCAACAGAATATCTTCACAATAATACCTTTTTCAAAATGATTTTAAATTTTCAAGGAATGTTTTCCCTACAAGTCAAAGAATAAGAACAACCATGTCAGGCCGAGACAACCTTGAAGTTCATAAACAAACATTAATTCCTAGATTTACTTTTTGTGTTTTTTGTCTTTCTCTGGTCTAGTTGTAGATGCTGTGGTTAGATGAAGAAAAACATTGCCTGTGCAAACTGGCCCACTCATCACAAAAGGCAAGTACAACCTTCTTCCTGAAATTCCTTAATGCATTTAACATAACAATCTGATCTACAACAAATGCAAAGTTAATGTCTCTCTCAGTTAACAGAAGGGATACAATTACGTTCACCCAAAAACTAATTTCATAGCAAATGTTTTTAACTTCCTGACAATGAAATCATTTTTCCAACCTTAAACAGTCAGCCTTTCAGAGACTTAGAGAATGTCTCTTAAATTCCTACTCTTGAACATACTGCATTTATTAATTTACAAAAGAGTTATTTGAAAACAGGCTTCTGTTTATTAATAATCAACACATGCAGAAAGTTTTAGCACTTTTCTGACAGTTCTGTTACAATTTCTGAAGATATGTTTTCTAACACTGAAGAAAATCATATATATCGCAACTTAAATGGTCAAACCAAGAGGAATTTCTTAGACTTTCTTTGTTGGACCTTTTATTGTTCTAAAAATAAGTCTGTCCCAAACTAATTCTGGTGTTCCAAATGTAACCTTACATATACTTAGAGGTACTTTCTACTATGCTGTTAAGAAAAAACAAAATCCTTTATATGTATATACTGATTTATGAAATTGGTTTCCTATGCATATATTAGAAGAGCAGCCTTTCTGAAATAGCACAAATGTCAGTTTTTTAAAAACCTTTACCCACAACTGTAATGAATACATGATCTATGGATGAATAACCCAAGAAGTCTGGCCAAAAGCTATTCCCAATCTTCATAAAAGCTATCCTTCTAGAATAGGGTTTTCACCCTTGATTGTCACTGACTCTGGGAGCCAAACAACTCCGTGTTGGTCAGGTGGGACTGTATGATGTTTAGCAGCATCCCTGGCCTCTTCCCACTATATCCAAGAAAATACACCTCTCCACTGCAACAACCACAAACATCAGCAGACATTGCCAAATGTCCCCTAGGGAACAAAGCCACACTGGTTGAGAACTGCTGCTCTAAAAGACCAACATCAGCATAATCGAGAATACCTTTCACTAGAAGAAAAGCTTAATTATTAAACATGAAATGAATTGAATGATCCCATTCCAGCTGCCCTAATATATGAGTAACTGACTGAAATATCTAACTGTAACTGCAGAGAGTTTCTGAAGTGACCATTTGTTGGGTTGTGTCTGGTTAATTTTAGATGTCAATTTGACTGGATTATGGGATGGTAACTGGTAAAGCACTATTTCTGGGTATGTTTGTAAGAGTTTCTGGAAGAGACTGGCTTTTGAATCAGTGAACTTTGTAAGGAAAATTCACCATCAACCAATGTGGGCAGGCACCATCCAATTGGCTAAGGACCCAAACAGAACAAAAAGGCAGAAGAAAGGCAAATTCACTGTCTCTCTATTCTGGAACTAAGACAACCTTCTTCTTCTGCCCTTCCATAGCCAAACTCCAGGTTCCTTGGTCTCTGGGCCTTATACCAAAGGCCTCCCAGGTTGTAAGGCCTTCAGCCTCAGACTTAGAATTATTCCACCAGCTTCCCTGGTTCTAAAGCCTGAGGCTGAACCAGTCTACTAGCTTCCCTAGTTCTGTAGCTTGCACAAGGCACATCAGGAATGTCATCTCAGCCTCCATAATCATATGAATCAATTTCCACAGTATATCCCCTCTGATCCATCCATCCAATTTGTTCTGAACCCTATAGTGTGGATCTTGAGAATGTCCCCCAAAGATATATGCATTGAAGATTTTGTCCCCAGCCTGTGGTGCTACTGGGAGTGGTAGAACCTTCAGGAGATGAAGTCAACTGGAATAAAGTTAAGTCATTGGGGCCATGCCTTAAAGAGAATATTAGGACCCCAACCCCTTCCTTTCTCTCTCTTTTGCTTCCTGGCCACCAAGAGGTGAGTAGCTTCCTTTGTTACACTCTCCTACTATGCTTCCTCACCATGAGACCAAAAGCAATGTAGCCAACTGCCCATGGACTAAAAATCATTTAAACCACGAGTCAAAATAAACCTCTCCTATTTTACGTTTGACTACTGATTATTTGTTACAGTAATTGACAGCTGACCAACATACTCATCTTCAAGTCTCATTAGTCTGATTACTGGCAGAAAAGGACTGACAGATGATCAGATTTGGTAGCATCAAAGATCCAAACCCATGACAAAACTCTTTTGATGAATCATGTTCTTGAGAGGGATATTTGCAGAAGGAATACAACCAAACAAATGTTCTATTTGTTGCCTGTGGAGCTCAGCCTCAAATATAATTTCCCAGTGAGCTGGGCTGAACTGGAATCCAAGAAGCCACTAAGTTTCTTTGGAACTCTTCCCTAAACTTACTCCTTTTGAGAAAAGAAAAAACAAAATGGTAAAGCAAACCAAAGAAAACAAGGAAATTATTTAAAGATTAAGAGTTTACTAACAGTAAAGCACAGATCTTGGGGCTAACATTTTAGAATATCCTGAAATTCTGACTTTGAATTACACCAATTCTTCCTGAGATATAGTCTTTCTCATTAGCAATCTGCTTCTCTGCCAAACAGGCGTGATTCAGCATTGTCCTTCCTGATCTCCTCTCATTCATCATTCTTAGGCAATCCAATTTTTGTGGAAAGCATCAGTTTTTTCACTGAATTAAACCCAACTACTGTCAAAAAGAAAAAGTCTTTTTCACCTTTTGGTAAGTGTTTGCATCAGATGTGGGTTTTTTTCAGACTAAGTCACTTACTTTTTTTCAAGAAAACTTCCATTCCAACAGGCTGCAGAAGATAATATCTGAACAACGCCACTGCTCAAAAAAAAAAAAAAAAAAGAGAGAGAGAGAAAAGAAGTCTTTAATAATTTTTAAAAATATGGTTATTTGAGCACCAGCAATAAGTTAGTCATTATTTATTTCACACCCTCACTGAGCAGATTTCATTTATGGCAGCTCTTAGATTAACCTTGAAAAACATACATTTGTTTTAGATAAACAGTGTGTCACACATCAAAATGAGCAAAACCTTATATTTTCCATACATTATTTTTTAAAAATAAAAATATCAAAGCTCTTAAAAGAATAAATCTTGGGCTGGGGTTGTGGCTCAGTGGTAGAGCGCTCGCCTAGCATGCACGAGGCCCTGGGTTCGATCCTCAACACCACATAAAAATAAATAAATGAACTAAATAAAGGTATTGTGTCTAACCAAAAAATAAATATTAAAAAAAAGAATGAACTTTTGTATAACTCTGAGGGTCTCCTTCCATTTCCATGCATTTTCCCTTCTCTCTCCCTTTCCCTCCCACCTCTCATCCCTGTTTAATGTTAATCTTCTTCTCATGCTCTTCGACCCTACTCTGTTCTTAGTTACTCTCCTTATATCAAAGAAGACATTTGGCATTTGTTTTTTAGGGATTGGCTAGCTTCACTTAGCATAATCTGCTCTAATGCCATCCATTTCCCTGTAAATGAGGGGAAGGGGAAAAATAATATAAGGGGGACAAATGAATGTCAGTAGAGGGAGCAGAGAGAGAAGAGGGGAGGGGAGGGGAGGGGAGGGGGGATAGTAGAGGATAGGAAAGGCAGCAGAATACAACAGACACTAGTATGGCAATATGTAAATCAATGGATGTGTTACTGATGTGATTCTGCAATCTGTATATGGGGTAAAAATGGGAGCTCATAACCCACTTGAATCAAATTGTGAAATATGATATATCAAGAACTATGTAATGTTTTGAACAGCCAACAATAAAAAATTTAAAAAATAAATAAATAAACAAACAAACAAAGGAAAAAAAAAAAAAGAATGAATCTTGCTCCTGATAACAATCTTGAACATTCTCCTACCACAAACCATTTAAAACATGCCCTACTTTACCTCTAAACATAAACAAAACAAAGCGTGGGCTGTTATTTCCCCCACAAAAATTATTTATGCAAATTAATAATTAATCAACCATTTCCTTGTATTTTATTGCCCTATTGAGAAAGAAACTAAAAGTTAGTGCAATGAGCATTTCTGTTACCTATTTTATATAGGCTCTCAGAAAGTAGTGTGAGGATCCAGAATAAAACTGCATATCAGGATCCTGGATACTCTTATTTAGTATAAGGAGAAGGGAAGAAATAAAAATATATGGCTAGGGAGAAGACTTCAGTAACTTCTGTTAATCAGAGAAAGGTCTTTAGAGATCACTTCTTCCCTCTCTACTACTGGTGAAACACAGGGTCTCTGACTCCCCCTGCTGATAATCAGCCTGGTCCTCTTCTCACCCCTACACCCCTTCCACTTGTATGTTCATTTCTAATCTTAGTATACATTAGACTCTATGACAAAAAGGAAATGCTAAGGAAAGCCAATGAAGGTATATAAAATGATGCAGAAAATATTCTAGTTTAATAATAAAACAAACTTGATTAAAGGCCTAAATACTTTTTACTAAAGTATTGAGTATTTTTTCCCTATATGACTACGAATTCCCATTTCAACTAATCATTTTGAGTGAGGAAATGCTAAAAACTATTCATATTAAATAAGACAAAATGCTTCAGAACATGAATGTGAAGAAACCCATTAAGGTTATACAACATAATACTGAGCACAAAGGATGACTTAGGCTCTCTTTGGTCAGGAAGACCTTACACTGGAAAAGGCTGAAAAGTACACTCTGTAAGAAAAATGGGAAGCAATCACTGTTACTGGGGCCTCATGAGACCAAACCCTGAATAAATGTGTGTGGGGCTGGGGGAAGGATTCCCTAAATGTAAAACTCCATCTATATTCATAGCCTCAACACAGAAGTAGGGTAGGAAAAAAATCACTAAGCTAAAAAGTTCTAACATGGCAAAACTAAAGACAAGCAATCACGTACTTGATTGTATTTGCATTGTTGTGTTCTGAGAGTTTTTGTCTCCAAACTGCTATGGTTTCATCATTTATTAGACTGGTATAATGTGCTTGGTTCATGGTCCTAAAGTCAACAGCAGGAGAAGAATTCTGGAAATTAAACAGTGAAAGAAATTATGTATCATGGATTTTTCCTCGTCTTCCCCCCTATACACTCACCGCTTTGGTTCCACTCATAAGCTGAAAGCTGTGGGGCACTGCCCAGATAGCTCTGACTTCAGAAGGAGGCACTCACTCCCTAGTTTCAGGGTATACAGGCTCCTGACTGCTCTCACTTGGGCTTACCCTTAGCTACATCCAATGCCAAAGTGAATTGTGGTATAAGAGCCTAACCTCCTTCCCTCAACTCAGGACTGGCTGAAGGGCCATCCTAACTCTAGAGTCCCACAAGAACTGGCCAAGGCTTCTGCTGTAACAGAATTAAAGGTCAACTTCTCCCTCTGCCCAGCCCTTCCTCCTTCACCCCTGAATAAATGTTCTAGAAAGCGAGCACACCCCCTAAAACTTTGAGCTTCAAGGTCTACTTCCCAAAAAAACCAACCCAATGTGACTTTTACAGATTTTTTTCCCCCTTGCTTTAAATCACTATAACATCAAGGCTTCTAAGGCTTAGAATTATAATTTTTTTGGCCAAATTCCAGTAAAATACATTATTAAAAAGTCAGTTGAATTTGAACCTATATTGCAAATAATTTATGAAAATTTAATGCCCATTTTTATGTCTTGCTCCAAGTATATAGCTGTAAGCTTATGAGAAAAGTGTCAAAAAGGATGTTAATAATGGCCTTAAAAATCCCAGCACTGTACAAGCTTTATCCAGTGAGGCTTAAAAAGACAAAGAACTTTCACTTTCTAAAATTGCTTGTTTTCAGCTTTATTTTTCCCCAATTTTGTTCATGATCTAGAAGTAAAAAGCTGTTGATGGGGTGTTTATACCTCCTATACTTGACACTAATAAAGAGGGGGAAAGTAAGAGCAAAGCAAATATCCATTCATTCACAGAACCATCATTTTTTTTCTTCTTTGTATTTAAACATAAAACATAACTTTCAAAATAAATTTTCCTGGTTACTTTCCTATAGTTGTAAGATACCACTGTAGGGAGAAAAAAAAATGACATGTAATTCATTAGAGATGCTTGACAAAGTTTTTGATCAATTGGTTCTTATTAACCATTATACTAAAATGGCCACAGACATATTGAGAAACTCAAAATAATATTGAACTACAACAGAAAGAACATGGAAGCCAAAGGGGAACACACACACACATACACATACACACACACACACACACACACACACACACAGAGATTGCTTTTCTTTCCACTTGTGGTTTTAAAATCACTATTATGTAAATTTTAATTAATTCCCCCATTCAAAGGGGCAACAGAAACAAAATATTTACAAAAACACTGACATGGAACTATTTTCTTATTCTTTATTACATGTCCAAATAAACCACAGATGCCTTAGGTGAAATACAATCTTAAAATCACTTAACCAAGAAAGAGCATCATTTTTCCATGCCCTCCCTCCCAGTGTGGAGGTCAAAACCCTGGACCTTCCACATGCTAACAAGTGTTCTTCCTCTGAGAAACAACCCCAGCCCTCAGGTCCTTCTATAAATTCAGGCCAAAAAGAAAAAATTGCTCTAGGTCAGTGTTTCTCAACTTTGGCTGGACTTTGAATCACCAGAGGATGTTTAAAAATTGCCGTTAACCAAGTAACATTCCAGATTATTTAAATCAGAATCTCTACAGGTGTATTTTTTAAAGCTCCCAAGTAATTCCAATGGGTAGCCAAGGTTGAAAATCATTGTCTAATACTACTACTAGTAAATAACAATAATAATAATAAGCATTAAGTCAGCCAACAGGCTTTGAGGCTACGAGAGACAGATACATACTCCCAACATTTTTCCCTTTTCAATCCTATCTAGAGGACTAGATGAAAGGTAAAAGAGAGGCTACAGTTTATATTCACTAAATTGCCAAGATTAAGAACCAAATGTAGCAAATGAGTATCTGAATGAAGGTTGAGAATCCTTGATCCATAAATTCAAAATCTGAAATGCCCTAAAATACAGAACTTTGAGCACCAACATGATACCACAGTGAAAAATTAAACACCATGAAACTTCGTTTGATGAACAAAATTTAAAATACTGTACTAAATCACCTTCAGGCTATATGTACAAGATCTATATTAAAGTGATTTATTTTTTAGAGCACTATAGTTATACATAGTTGTATTCATTTTGACAAAATCATAAATGCATGGAATTGTATCTCAATCCTCATTCTCCCATGTTTCCCTCCCCTTCTCCCTCCCCCATACTCCAATGATCTTCCCCATATATTTATGATCCTCCATCCCACTGCTATTTTTCAATTTTTTTATTTGTTCTTTTTAGTTATACATGACAGTAGAATTCTTGAGGTTGTACATGATGTGGAGGTACACTGGTCGCATATTCCTATATGAACATAGGAAAGTTATGCCCGATTCCTTCTACTATCTTTCTTATTCCCTTCCCCTACTTCCCTTCATTCCCCTTTGTCTAATCCAAAGTACTTCTATTCTTCCTTCCCACCCCCCACCCCACTCCCCCCACTCCCGCCTATCTCCACTTATTGAGTGTTAGCATCTGCATATCAGAGAGAACATTCGTCTTTGGTTTTAGGGGATTGGTTTGTTTCATTTAGCCTGATAGTCTCCACTTCCATCCATTTACTAGTGAATGTCATAATTTCATTCTTCTTTATGGCTGAGTAACACTCCATTGTGTATATGTACCACATTTTCTTTATCCATTCATCTGCTGAAGGGCACCTAGGTTGGTTCCATAGTTAAGTCATTGTGAATTGAGCTGCTATAAACATTGATGTGGCTATGTAACTGTAGTATGCTGATTTTTAAATCTTTTGGATTTAAATCGAGGAGTGGGATAGCTGGGTGAAATGGTGGTTCCATTCCAAGTTTTCTGAGAATCTCCATACTGCTTTCCATAGTGGCTGCACAATTTGCAGTCCCACCAGCAGCCTAAGAGTGTACATTTTTCCCCACATCTTTGCCAACATTTATTGTTGCTTGTATTCTTAATTGCCATTCTGGCTGGAGATGAAATCTCAATATAATTTTTTTTTGGCGGGGGAGTACTGGGGATTGACCTCAAAGGCACTCAAACACAGAGCCAAATCCCCAGCCCTATTTTGTATCTTATTTAGACAAGTCTGAGTTGCTTTAGTGCCTCGATTTTGCTAAAGCAGGTTTTGAACTCATGATCCTCCTGTCTCAGCCTCCCAAGCCACTGAGATTACAGGCATGCATCATGCGACCCAACTTTAATATTGTTTTAATTTGCATTTCTCTAATTGGTAAAATTGTTGAATATTTTTTTCAAATATTAATTTATCAACCATATTTCTTATGTGAAGTACCTGTTCAGTTCTTTAGCCCATATATTGATTGGGTTCTTTTAACACCAAAATTGAGTTAAAATTTTTGAGTTTTTTATATATCCTGGAGATTAATGCTCTATCTGAGGTACCAGTGGCAAAGCTTTTTCCCATTTTGTAGGCTCTGTCTTCATGTTCTAGATTATTTCCTTTGCTGTGAAAAAGATTTTTAGTTTGATATCATCCTATTTATTCATTGATGATTTTACTTCTTGCACTATAGGAGACTTGTTGACGAAGTCAGTTCTTAAGCCAACATGATGAAGAACTGAGCCTACATTTTCTTCTAGTAAATGCAGAGTCTCTGGTCTAATTCCTAGGTCCTTGGTCCATTTTGAATTGAGTTTTTTGCTGGGTGAGAGACAGGGGTTTAATTTCATTTTGCTACATATGAATTTTCAGTTTTCCCATTTGTTGAAGAGGCTATCTTTTCTCCAATGTATGTTTATAACACCTTTGTCAAGTATAAGATGGCTATGTTTATGTGGGTCTGTCTCTGTCTTGTATTCTGTACACTGGTCTACATGTCCGTTTTTGCACCAATACCATGCCATTTCTGATACCATAGCTCTATTATATAATTTAAAATCTGGTCTTTTGAATGCTTCCTGTGTCACTTTTCTCCCTAAGGATTGGCTATTCTGGGCCTCTCATTTTTCCAAATGAACATCATAACTGCTTTTTCTACTTCTATGAAGAATGTCATTGGAATTTTAATAGGAATTGCATTAAATGTGTATAGCACTTTTGGTAGTAAGGCCATTTTGACAACATTAATTATGCCTATTCGAGAACATGCACATCTGTCCATCTTCTAAGGTCTTCTTTTATTTCTTTCTTTAGTGTTCTGTGTTTTTAATTACAGATGTTTTTCAACTCTTTTGTTAGATTGATTCCCAAGTATTTTATTTTTTTGAGGCTATTGTGAATGGGATAGTTTTCCTAATTTCAGGTAATTCATCATTGGTGTATAGGAATGCAGTTGACTTATGGGTATTAATTTGTATCCTGCTATTTTGCTGAATTTGTTGAGTTCTAAGAACTTTCTGGTGGAGTTTTATTTTTTGGGGGGGTCTTCTAAATATACAATCATGTCTTCGGCAAATAGGGATAGTTTGAATTCTTTTTTTTGAGAGGGGGTACCACGGATTGAACTCAGGGGCACTCGACCACGGAGCCACATCCCCAGCCCCATTTTGTATTTTATTTAGAGGCAAGATCTGAGTTGCTTAACACCTCACTTTTGCTGAGGCTGGCTTTGAACTCGTGATCCTCCTGTCTCAGCCTCCTGAGCCACGGGGATTACAGGTATGCGCCACCACACCTGGCTGGTTTTCACTTTTATTTTTCATTTCTTCATGAAACATTTTATTGAGTATGTTTTGTAGTGTAGGCCTTCTAGTTGTGAATATTTTAACTTTTGTTTATCATGGGAGGTTTTGATTTCATTGTCAATTCTGAAGCTTAATTTTACAGGGTACAATATTCTTATTTGGCACCCATTTTCTTTCAGAGCTTGGTATATATTATTCCAAGAGTCCTACTTTGGAGGTCTGGGTTGAAAAATCAGCTGACATCTGGATTGTGACCTATCATTTTTCTAAATGTGACCTATCATTTTTCTCTGTCACCCTTTAAAATTTTATCCTTACTCTATATGTTAGGCATTTTTATAATAATGTGCCTTGGTGTGGGTCTGTTGTAATTTTGTATATCTGGGGTCCTATAAGCCTCCTGTGTTTCATTTTCCACTTCATTTTGAAGGACTGAAAATTTTTCAGATATTATTTCATTGAAAAAGACTGTGCATTTCTTTGGTTTGTATCTCCAAGGCTTCATCTATCCTAATAACTCTAAAGTTTGGTCTTTTCATGTTATCCCATATTTCTTTCTTTCTTTTTTTTAATGGCAAAATGTTTATAAGAATTTTTATTTATTTTTTCCCCTTCCCCTCACTTCCTCTTATATGTAATTTTGTATAACAATGAGGGTCTCTTTCCTTTACCATGCAATTTCCCTTCTCTCTCTCTTTCCCTCCCCCCTCTCGACCCTGTTTAATGGTGATCTTCTTCTCATGTTCTTCCTCCCTATTCTGTTCTTAGTTGCTCTCCTTATATAAAAGATGACATTTGGCATTTGTTTTTTAGGGATTGGCTAGCTTCACTTAGCATAATCTGCTCTAATGCCATCCATTTCCCTGCAAATTCCATGATTTTGTCATTTTTTAGTGCAGAGTAATACTCCATTGTGTATAAATGCCACATTTTTTTTTATCCATTCATCTATTGAAGGGCATCTAGGTTGGTTCCACAGTCTAGCTATTGTGAATTGTGCTGCTATGAACATAAATGTAGCAGTATCCCTATAGTACGCTCTTTTAAGGTCTTCAGGGAATAGTCCGAGAAGGGCAATAGCTGGGTCAAATGGTGGTTCCATTCCCAGCTTTCCCAGGAATCTCCATACTGCTTTCCAAATTGGCCGCACCAATTTGCAGTCCCACCAGCAATATACAAGTGTACCCTTTTCCCCACATCCTCGCCAGCACTTGTTGTTGTTTGACTTCAGAATGGCTGCCAATCTAACTGGAGTGAGATGATATCTTAGGGTGGTTTTGATTTGCATTTCCCTGACTGCTAGAGATGGTGAGCATTTTTCATGTACTTGTTGATTGATTGTATGTCCTCCTCTGAGAAGTGTCTGTTCAGGTCCTTGGCCCATTTGTTGATTGGGTTATTTGTTATCTTATTGTTTAATTTTTTGAGTTCTTTGTATACTCTGGATATTAGGGCTCTATCTGAAGTGTGAGGAGTAAAGATTTGTTCCCATGATGTAGTCTCCCTATTTACCTCTCTTATTGTTTCTCTTGCTGAGAAAAAACTTTTTAGTTTAAGTAAGTCCCATTTGTTGATTCTTGTTATTAACTCTTGTGCTATGGGTGTCCTATTAAGAAATTTGAGCCCGACCCCACAATATGTAGATCGGAGCCAACTTTTTCTTCTATCAGACGCAGAGTCTCTGATTTGATATCAAGCTCCTTGATCCATTTTGAGTTAACTTTTGTGCATGGCGAGAGAAAGGGATTCAGTTTCATTTTGTTGCATATGGATTTCCAGTTTTCCCAGCACCATTTGTTGAAGATGCTATCCTTCCTCCATTGCATGCTTTTAGCCCCTTTATCAAATATAAGATAGTTGTAACTTTGTGGTACCTTTTTCCCTACATCCTTACCACACTGTATTCTTGATAATTGCTGTTCTGACAAGAGGTGGACCTTAGTATAGTTTTGATTTGCATTTTCCTCGTTGCTAGAGATGTTGAACATCTTCTCATGTATTTTTTGGTCATTTGCGTTTTTTCTTTAAAGAAGTTTTTAGTTCCTTTGCCCATTTATTAATTAGGTTGGTTATTTTTGTTTAAGTTCCTCCCACCCACATCATTTGTTAATTGTTTATTTACTAAGAAAAACTATTCCTTAGCCCATGTGTTCCTGAACACTTTACAGTTCAGAAACACAAGTCAGTAATCAACTTCTAAGGAACTCAATCTAAAGAAATTCTTTATATTCCAAAAATTCTTTATATTCCGGCCTTCTTCATCTCCTCAAAATCTTTAATAAAATCATAATTTTTGTAGAAATCGGCATATGACTTCCTTCTTGGTTCAGCCACACCAATCTCAACCCCCAGGGCAACCATGAATGCTCCACCAGTTGAAACCTCATATGATTGGCCAAAAGACCCCACACATCAGAGGTTCTGTCAAAGCATCAGAACCATGGCAGTTATTGTCCTCCACACCAATGTCCTTCCCAGATGATGGAGAAATTTAGTGGTGATGTTAAGTTTTTGAGTTCTTTATCTAATCTAATCTGGATATTAATCCCTTCTCAAAGGGGCAGCTGGCAAAGATTCTCCCATTCTGGGCTTTATTTTCAAATTTGTAACTATTTCCTTTCCTATGCAGAAGTTTTTTAATTTGAGAGCATCCACTCAGAATTCTTGGTTTTATTTGTTGAGATTTAGAGACCTTGTTTGGGAAGCTGGTAGTGCCTACCTATATGATGGAGTGTTAAACCTGTTTTCTTCTAGCAGTTGTAAGGTTTCTGGTCTAATTCCTAAGTCTTTGATGCATTTTTATTTTACTTTTGTGCAAGATGAGATGAACCTAATTTCATGTATCTAAAACAAGTGATTTTCATGTTTACACTTGAGCCCCATCCCCAAGATCTCACTATATACATACAAATATTCCAGACTCATAAATATATAAATAAACATATGAAATGTTTTTCTATTCCTAAGCATTTTGGGTAAGGGACACTCAATCTATTATCTCCTCTCCTCCCTTCTTCCACTTTAAGGCTTGAATTAAAGAATGAGCACTATATAAATATAAAATGGAGGCTGTCACTATTCAAATGCTTTTCTTGGTCTTTGATAATGGTAACTAGGTAACCACATTAATTTTATCAGTTTATATCTAAACATCTACAGTTAATAGTTTAAGTATATGTGCATCGGTTTCCATTTTAAAAAGAAAAACACCTTAAGAAATATTCCATTTTATAGTTGCTTTTATCTTTTTTATCTCGAGTTTTCAATGCATACCTCTATTACCAATTGTTTATTTTATTTATTTATTTGGTACCAGGGATTGAACCCAGGGGGTGCTTACCCACTGTGCCGCATCCCCAGCCCTTTTTTGTATTTTGTTTAGAGACAGGGTCTAGCTAACTTGCCTAGGACCTTACTAAGTTGCTGAGGCTGGCTTTGAACTTGCAATCCTCCTGCCTCAGGCTCCCGAGCCACTGGGATTACAAGCATGCACCACTGCTACCAACACCAGTTGTTTATTTAACCTGCCCTATTTCTCTAATATTGCCTTATGATACTTTACTTTCTTTTCATCAAAGTATTGTTTTCTATACCCAACAATGTTAATCAATTTAAAATTCAACTATAGATCAGATTCTATATTGATAAAAGGAGTGAAACTAAGTTTTATGTTGAATAACACAGAAAAATCAAGTTGTAAAATATTACTCAAGTCAGTTTGTTAAGGAAATGAATATTCAAAATTCTAACTATTCATGGACAAAAAAAGTTACTACACTAAAATCCTATGTTTTCAATTTTGCTTTTGAGGCATCTAGAAGAAACAAAGAATGACTTCCATTTCCCTCAGGATTTCTCTGTGATGTCTAAACAAGCCAAAAGTAGCAATTCCACATCACCCCAGAGGGCAGCACTAAACAGTCTTCCTCAGGCTCCTGACCTAGAAAATTTTAAGTTCCAGATGTCCAGCCTGCAGCCTCAGTGTTCACCAGTACCTTTTTTTTTTTTTTACCAGAATCATAAAATTATAATAATTATAATAACTAGAGGACAAGAACTTTATGTATTTAAAGATGGCAACACATGAGACAAATGGGGACAGGACCCTTTTTCCCACAGCAATCCTGATTCCTTTATCATCAGTCAGGGCCCCTTCAACGCACAACAGAGTTGGTCCTACCAAAATGCTTATCGAATAAAAGTGGGGAGGGGGAGAGAAGCACATGAATAGGGAAAAAGTGGAGGGCTGCAAACAAATCTATGGGGCTTTTCTTAGACTGAGTGCCTCTGAAGAAGTGTAACAGATCCTCTCACAGATTCTTGGATTCCCACTTGACTCTCTACCGTAAACCTGAAAAGACACTATCATCATTCTCCTGGCTTACCCACTACAATGATGCAAGAAAAAGGAGGGAAATTTTGGTGCAGTGTCATGAACAGATTATAAATAAAAGATATATGACTATTGTGGTATCAGTTATATGTTACACTCAATCACATCAAACAAAGAAACCACCAAATTCTGAAATACCTAGAATGTGTTGCTACTTAACAATGAAGAAAAGAAATGAAAAGTCAAATAATGCCAAAGCAAGCAAAAACTCTTTAGGCCTCGTTAAATTTTTGTTAGAAAAAAATATGGGCAAAAATAAATAAGTTGTAAATTAGAACTCTATGATTATACCAGGAACATTATTAACACTTCAAAGGAACCAAATGGAGATAACTTCTTTAAGATTGTTTGCTTATATTAATAAAACAGGTAAAAACAAAGACCAATACCACTTTAATATAATTATTAAAATAAACATTGGTTTACCAATATTTCACCCCCAAGTGATAGTCAAAAGAAAATTTTACCTCATATTTGGAGCAGAGTACAAAAGTTTGGTCTCCTCCAGAGAAGATCTGCTTAACAATATGATATTTAAAGCGATCTGCCAAAAAAATTTCCAACAGCATATTTTTCAATAATTGAAGTTTCTTCTTGATCCCTTTTTTAATATTCCAAAATATGCATCAGAGTGGCTTCTTATCCATTTTAATCACATTAGAGAAGAAACCAAATCTCCTGGCTCAATGCCTAGTATTACTTCTACTGCAATTAAAAATAAATATATAAAACAGTACCCTCCATTCTAGCTCTGCCCCCACTTCACTGCCAGCTAATCCTGATCTCATTTCTATTTTTCATGCTAACTCTATCATGGCACTGACCTGAAATCTAAAATGGGCACTACTATAAATGGTAACATATGCCTAACAAATAATTCCGCATCTGAGGTGGACCCTAGCCACTTCAGGATAAATCTGGCAACATAAGGACTTCTATTTCCTGCTCTCTGATTTATCCCCCATTACATGCACCCACATAAACACTGATACCATGATATTGCTTTATTGCTAATATCCCACACAATGTTATTCATTCTCCATGCCTCTTTCCTCTACACCCTAGCACACACTGTATTCTCCGAGGGATACCTCCTAGGGCAGAGTCTGAATGGTGCTCCTGGAATTTTGCCACTCCATGGGACTGCCACTGCTACTCAAAGTCCTCTATCTGGCTAACTCCAAATCACCCTGTCCAACACAGCTCACACTTCCTCTAACCAAAATACTCTTTCATGTCTTCTTCTGTGCTCGCATATTACCATGAGGTTTCCTAAAGCCACAGCATTTACACATTTATAAAATCATTTTGTCAAACATCTAAGCAAGGACAGCCTCAGCAACTTAGCAAGACTCTGTCTCACAAAATAAAAAGGAATGAGGATGTAGCTCAGTGGTAAAACACCCCTGGGTTTAATTGCCTGTAGTACCACAAAACAAAAGAAAGGAAAAAAAAAAAAAAAAAGACGAGGCAGCACTCAATATGAATGACTGCCTTATTTTGATTTCCAAACAAATGAATACTCTGTTGCATATTTTTAAGAGAAGGGGGGAAAAAGGCATGAAAAGAGATCACGTTATGCTATGACCAAAACACCAACAGAAAGTAGAGAAAATAACACAGAATTGGCACTAAGAGCATAGGCTTTCAAATGGGGCCAATCTTGGTTCAGTCCTGCCTCCAGGATCCTTGTGACTTTAGGAAAGTTACTGACCCTCTTGAAGACTCAGTTCTCTCACCTCTACAAAGATGACAACCACTAATAGGTTGTTCTGAGGCTTAGCATAATAATGAATTTGGTTAAACATTCCATAAATAGTTAACCATCAGTATTAACAACAATAAAACTTACACACTATCACCAAGATTCTCGGTGCTAACATTTTGTGTTTTATTTATTTTCTAGGATTTCAGAGTTTCATGCATAGCAAGAACTGAAATATTTGTTGATTATTGTTTTTAAAAAACTTCATATTAATTCCCTTCAAAAGACTTCAAGATATATAAGAGATGTAAATTCAAAATATGTTGGAAACAAACATATAGATATATGCTTTAGTCATTTAAAATATAATTAAATTCTAGTGCAAATCTTACCGGCTCGGGCTGAAAGCTGTCCACTGTGGGCAGCCCAATAACCCTTCACAGGAGATGGGCACTTAACGTTACAAGTGTGTCCAGTTCCTAGTTGACCTCTAGCTCCACAACCAAATGCGTAGATGAGTCCAGAAGAAGGCACAAAGGCTAGAGTGTGTTGTCTGTGGAAAAATTAAACAACTCATGGTCAAAGTATCTACTAACATGGACACACTCTCAGACTCTGACCTTTAATTTCCAAATAAAAGCATAGGAGTCCTTAGGTGTGCCCCATGGAACCTCCCCAGTGACAATATGTGACTTTTCTTTTTTTTTTTTTCTTTTTTTTGCAATGACTGGCTCTCCATAATATTCTCCTTCTCTCACACTCCAGTTAATGGGGAGGATAGTAACTTGTGGAAAAAGTTGAATAAACCTGCTGCCATATGGATGAAAGGGAAGAAGCAGTGTAGGCCCAGACAAAATTTCCAAAAGGCTCTGTGGGACTTTCTCCTTTCTTCATTTCTTCCCCACATGCTGCTACTCTTTATCCCAAAAGAGGCTTACTATTCCCTATTTCTCTGCTTACCTAAAACCCTTCCTTGCTACATCCCAGAATCTGACTTTCTCCAAATTTCACCGTAGGTATGCATGCAGTAAAGATTTCCTAAAATGATGGAACTTAGGTGTCATCACATTCTCCATCACTATAAGAACAAGATCCATTTCTGGGTCTTCTAGCAGGAAGCTCTGAGGAACACTCACCTGCCACAAGCAATCTGAGTTACTTCACTGCCCATCAGCTCTAGAACTCTTCTTGGATTAACCTCATCATTCATGGAGTCATGTCCAAGTTGCCCACAAGAACCAGCACCAAAGGTGAACACACCTCCACTCTAACAAAGAACAAACGTCAATATGACATTACTGTATCTCTAAATTTAAGAACCTTCCTCTGAAACCTGTATACAAAATTCCCATCAGAATGGTCCATGCAAGACACTATGCTCACTTAATACTTGGCCAAAATCACCTCCTGAGAACATTATTTAAATAGCAAAAAGAATAAAAAAGAAATTTAAGACTATGTCTTCAAGGAACATAGAAAGCCCTTCTCAAGGGAATGTGTGCCATTTGTAAATTTTGGAAACTGTTTAAAGCACAATGACATATTAGGAAGCAAAATTAAAGAAAAACAAGAAGATATTAAGAGAACAGGTGTGGTGATGTACATCTGTAATCCCAGTTGGTAGGGATGAGGCAGAGAGATCACAAATTTGAGGTCATGTGAACAACTTAGCAAGACCCTGCCTCAAAAAAACAAAAAAGGCTGGAGATGTAGCTTTGCGTAGGAGAACCCCTAATTAAATTCTCAGTACTAAAAAGATGAAAGGAAGGAAGGAAGGAAGGAAGGAAGGAAGGAAGGAAGGAAGGAAGGAAGGAAGGAAGGAAGGAAGGAAAGAAGGAAGAAAATAAATTAAGTACTCCACAAACTCCTTGAAAAGTAAGGTTTTTTAAAAGTTGTATTAGATTAAATGCTAACCTATTTAATTAAAGTGAATATATAATGGTATTTGCTCTATATGAAAATACAAATTTTCTTTCTAGAATGTAACTATTTAGAAATAAAAGAAACAGATTAATGATTTTAAAACAATTAAATTGCTATTTCTTTTTTACATATTTTATTTATTTACTTACTTGCTTATTTATTGGTACCAGGGATTGAACCCAGGTTCTCTTAATCACTGAGCCACATCCCCAGCCTTTTTTAGTTTTAGACAGTGTCTCACTGAGTTGCTCATGGCCTCACTAAGTTGCTGAGGCTGACTTTGAACTTGTGATCCTCCTGCCTCAGTCTCCCAAGTTCCTGGGATTACAGGTGAATACCATTGTGCCTGGCTTTTTAAAAAATAACTTATTTTAAAAGAACACAGGATTCTGTTATTTATTTACTTATACACACACACATACACATTTATGTATATATATTTAAAAGTTATTTCATTGAACTATTTTTTTCATTTTTATACTGAAATATATTTAACTGGTAGAAATTTACCAAAGAGGTAAACACAGATACAAGAAAGCAATTTTGTTCCTATTCCTTTGGAAAACAATAAAACAAAATCTAAAGGCAGCATTCAAGTTCAAGCCACAATATGGTAATTAAACATAATCACTACTCTAAAATAATGTATTATAACTGCCTATCCCATAACCTGAACCAAAGCAGAGTTCTCCAATGCCCTTACCTTTGTGAGGACTGCTGTATGTTCTTCTCCACAACTAATATAGACAACTTTCTGGGTTCGTAAAAGTTTCACATGGCAAGGAGACTCTCGATCTAGAATAAGATCAATGAAGCATTAGAATATCACTACCATTAATTTTTATATGAAATACACACAACTATCATAGCATGAATTTTGGGTCTCCCCTGGTTTCCTGGCACATATGCAACTTCCTACCTGCATCTCTGTTTGGATGTTGTTATGGTTTGGACGTGAGGTGTCCCCCAAAAGCTCATGTGTGAGACAATGCAAGATGGTTTGGAGGAGAAACAATTGGGTTATGAGAGACTTAACTCAATCAATTTATTAATACCTTGATGGGGATTAACTCAGTGGTAACTGAAGGCAGGTAGGTTGTAGCTGAAGGAGGTGGGCATTGGGGGAATGGTTTTGAGGTAATATATTTTGTATCTGGTGAATGGAGACTCTCTCTCTGCCTCCTGATCATCATGTGAGCTGTTTGCCTCTGCCATACTCTTCCACCATGATGTTCAGCTTACCTTGAAACTCAAGGAATGTACTTCTAAGGACTGAGACCTCTGAAACCATGAGCCCTCGAATAAGCTTTTTCCCCTCTACAATTGTTCTGGTTATGTCTTTTAATCACAGCAGTGAAAAAGCTGACTAAAACAGATGTCCAACAGATCTCAATTTTAATGTATCCCAAAGCTAACTCATGGTTTCCCGACACTTTCTTACTCTGCCCACTCACCCTCCACAAAATAACTGTATCCTACTTTTCTCTGTTTTAAACCACACATTCAACAACGTGCAAATAGGTCCTCTTCAAATGCTGCACAAAAATCAGACTTTACTCTCACTAACTCCAACCTGGTTTTCCCCCTTAACCCACTTATGCAGCTAATGGCAGCTAATGGTCAAACAGGATCACTTCTCTCCTCCAACACTTAGTCTTGCTAACAAGAGCAAGACTCACTAACAGATGAAGCCAAATCCTCACCCTGGTACTACCTCTTTGACCTCCATCTGTCCCTCCTCCCATTTCTCCCTCTAGACCATACATCTTTGCACAACAGCATTTGCACATACTGTTTCCTTTGGCTGGAATATTCTTTCTGCAGAAATCTAAATGTCCCACTTCCTACGGGCTCTGCTCAAACAAGTTCCTATCAGAACTAGGTATTTACTAGTTTGTTGTTTGAGAATCCTTGACATACCATATATTTATGAGTTTGCTGTTTATGTTTGCCCACTAGAATAGTTTCCAGTAAGCCACAGATGTTCTGTTTTGTTCATTGCTTCTCCCTTAGTATTTAGCATGAGGCCAACACATAATAGAACCTCAAGAAGTATGTATTAAACAAACAAATGTGCTTCTGAATTAAAGAGGTACATGTAGTTTACCAACCTTTTTCATCACTGAGTCCTAGCTGTCCTGCATTATTCATCCCCCAGCCAAAAACAGCTCCTGAGAGAGATAGGGCAAAGCTGTGAGCCCCTCCTGCAACCACCTGGGCCAACGGGATGCCCTCCAGGGACCTCACCCTCTGCGGGCTGGCTTGAGAAGGGAACTCCTTCCCCAGCCCCAGCTGACCATGGCTGTTCTTTCCCCATGTGAAGAACTGGCCATCTGAAAAAAGAACAGAATAACTAATTTTACAAAAATGGATACAAGTTGTATGCACAAAAATAATCTCGTTATTAGGATCATTTGTTAGTTGCCCTCCCACATATCCCAAACTCACCCCAGAGCAAAGGAACAAAGACACTTCATGCTTTAAGACTATCAAAACCAAAACTCCCACTTGACATGACAATACTATTATGCAAAGAACACATTAAGTAAATAAATTCAATTTTGAACAAGCCACCTACCAGGCTTAGATCTATTAAGCAAGTTCAATTAGTTGTGACCATATTAAGATTAAGAGACTTAGAACTTCAGGAGATCCAGGCTAAGAGCACCAACTTCTAAACAAATGATTGAAGAGGAGGTGTAAGGGCAGATGTCTTCTAACAAAGTACAGTGTTGTTTGCTGACTTAGGTTTCTCTTAACTCCTTCCTTTACATTTATTCCAATTTTCTATATTCTCAAGAACACTTGGGTATCATCCTGCTTCTCATTCATCTTCCCCTGTGTGTGCTGGGGTAACAATGATTAGCACCTATTTCATCCACACCCTAGAGAAAGGATGAGATATGCAAAGGCTGTCTGAGAACTGTTACTGCTCAAGACCAATGCAGTTAAAGTTTGGAGATAAATTAATGCAACTGCAGGAGAAAAATATTTTCAAAATTTCACGGCATTGGCATATATTTAATGCTACATTACCTGCTGCAAGAGCCAAGCAATGCCAGTTGCCACAGGAAACTTGTAATATTGTCTGTTGGTTCAGCTTCTGTATTAACCTAAAACAGAAAAGGCTTTCCTAAGACTGAACATTCACATACAAACACAATTATCGCTAATATTCCCACTGGGTTCAGTGGCGCAGAACTATAACCCCAGCTACGAGGGAGGCTGAAGCAGGAGGATCACAAGTTCAAGACCAGTCTGAGCAACTTAGTGAGACCCTGTCTCAAAAAAAAAAAAAAAATTAAAAGAGCTAGGGATGCAGCTCAGTGGTAAAATGTCCCTGGGTTCAATCCCCCATACCAAACAAACTACAGGACTGTCATGATCCAGCAATTTTACCTCTAGTTATATATCCAAAAGGACTGAAATCATATTACTAAAGAGATACTTTATGTTTACATTCATAGATTCATTATTCACAATGGCCAAAAGATGCAATCTTGTATTCTGCAAATCTATTGGCACCATTTTTTCCCAACTACTCAGATGATATTAGCATTATTTTTTTTTTGCAATAATGTTTTTTTTTAAATTAAGATATGTACTATTTTTTTCCTTCTGCTGGGAACAGAAATCAGGACCTCACACATGGTAAGCAAGTGCTCTACCACTGAGCTACACCTGCAGTCATGTATTAATTTATCATGTGTGTTGGTTCAAAGATCATCATCAAGGATTCTTCATGGTGCACTTTTATAATCACTCCTCCCCTGTCTCATTACCCAACCCTATCCCCCGGAAACCACTAACCTAGCCTCTATTTCTAAAATGCTGTTATTTTAAGAATGTTACAGAAATCAAATTACATACCCTTGGGGATTAGCTTTTTTTAACTCAGAATATTTCCCTGGTCATTCAAAGTTGTTACATATATGAATAGTTTATAGAATCTCGCTGATTTTAAAAATGTTAATGCATTACTACCAAGTGTGTTAGGAGTTACAATGCAGCAACGGCCCTTTTTCCTGACCAGTTTCCATAAAAAATCCCCAGAACAAATTGTCCCCTTATTGGATCAATTCTCAAACAACCCTCATGATCACATTTAGGAAGAGAAACAGATCAAAAGAACAAAGATAAATATAAAAATTACACCCTGGAGGTGGAGAGGAGGGGTACATACAATACAAACATAAACTATGCTTTACCTACTCGTCTCGTTCTATCTTCCCAATAACTCCATAAAGTAAAAAATATAAAATTTCATTTTGAAGTTAGGAAAATGTGGCTTAGAAAAGTTCAATTTGCCCAAAGTCATTCACCTTGTAAGTAACAGAACCAATATTAAATCCAAGGCTGTTTGTTCTCAAAACTGTTACTTCCCAAATACCATGGTATTAATAATTTATTTCAAGTAAATTATATAGTTAAAACTATACAAATCGTTCTTGTAAGTCATTCATAGTTTAAACATGATTAATTAAATTGTTACTATAACACAGATTACTTTGTTTTTAGAAAAGAAATGAGATTTAAAAACTTAGAATTGAGTCTTTGGTCACCAACAAATGAAATATTTTTGTAATTAATGTTATCAAAATTTTTCCCTAAAGTTACACACAATGTAACTAAAATACAGCAATCCTCTTTTCTTACTGCCAAATTAATTTTTGGAAAAAATAATATAAGACATTACTGGCTGGAATTTATCAGGAAATAAATTGCTCTCACCTCCATGTTCCTTTTTCCCTTAAAACAGCTTTTAATTAAAGAGAAAAACTTAGGAAAGGCAAAAAGGAAGAGGGAGATATACTGTCCTTAAAAAGGGGACAAGAAGGGGAAAACAGGCCATTTATTAACCTAATACTGAGCAATGTATGGACCAGGAACCCTTAGAAATGATAATATTAAAATGAATAATCCAGGTCTCCTGCCATCAAGAAGTCAAAGTTTTGAAATAAAAATCAGACATTAAAAGAAACAAATACAAAGAACATAACAAGTACTAGTATATAGAAATATGCAGTATACCAAGCATGTGGTACAAGGGGTATGTAGAATAAAAGAACTGGCATTAAATGAAGAAAATTAACAGCCTCTCTCATCATGAAAAATCCTCAACAGGACTGGGGAGATAGCTCAGTGATAAAGCACCTGCCTAGCATGCATGAGGCCCTGGGTTCAATCCCCATCATCACCACATAAAAAATAAACAAAGTAAAATGACAAAAAAAAAAAAAAAACCTCAACAGACAGACACCACCCCAGCAAAAATCATCTGAAAATAACTTCACTATTTTGAATATTTTCTTAAGTGATGAATTATCTATTAGATACTTGGCTAAATCTTCTAAAATTTTGAAGTAGCTGGGTGTAGTGGTGCACGCCTGTAATCCCTGTAGCTCAGGAAGCTGAAGCAGGAAGATTGAGAGTTCAAAGCCGGCCTCAGGAAAAGTGAAGCACTAAGCAACTCAGTGAGACCCTGTCTCTAAATAAAATACAAAATAGGGATGGGAATGTGGCTCAATGGTGGAGTGCCCCTGAGTTCAATCCCCAATACCGCCCCCAAAAATAAAAAAGAAATAAACAAAATTTAGAAGTAAATAGTTAAGAGATTCAAAACCATTAATTATATTAATTTTTGCATTAAAGAATCTATATTTGGGGCTGGGGTTGTGGCTCAGTGGTAGAGCGCTTATCTAGCACATGTGAGGCCCTGGGTTCGATCCTCTACACCACATAAAAATAAAACAAAGGTATTGTGTCCAACTACAACTAAAAAATAAATATTAAAAAATAAAAGAATCTACATTTGATATTTTAGCTATTTTTAATGCTAAAGGTAATTTGGCATATAAGAGTCAGCCTTATGATTCTACTTTAAAGTACTTAACTGAATAATTCAGATTTTTTATAATCTTATGAAGGTTGATAAATCTAAGATGTGAAAAGATGCCTTTTTTATTCAAATATTTATCGAGTGCCAGGAAGTCAGCTCGTAACCAGGCTACTAGAAAAATAAAATACGGTTCCTGACCAACTTACTTTTTGAACTAGAGGCAGACATTTCTGTAAATAATCACAATTTTTGTGCTACAGCAATATAAAGGCACAGCAGTAGCACAAAGGAAACAGCAATACAATAAAGAAAACAGAACAAAAACAAGGAGTCTGCCATAGCAACAAGCAGAAAGTAATTTTTAAAACAATTGAGACTTGAAGCCCAGATTCCTTTCTGTGGCATTCTTACCTGGGCACTGCCACAGAATCCTCAGTAGTCATGAGTCCTAGTTGACCATCACTCCCTGCACCCCAAGAGAACAGCTGGCCCCGGTCACTAAGGGCCAGATTGTGGGACTCTCCACATGCCACATGAATAATGTGCTGATCTGCCAGAGCTCCAATTTGTTCTGAAAGAGATCAAACCAAAGGAAGAAAATGTATATCTTAGAAACAGGTTATTTTGCTACCCTTCCACAGAATTACCCTTATAGGACAGTTCTCCACTCCCATTCTGGAACTAAGGACTTTTGTTTTTAAAGAGAACCACTAAATCTGCATATGTGCAGAGATTATAAACTTTATATATTTCCAAATGTTATCAATTTAGATTTAGCTACACTAGGTAGCATACATGCCTATAGTAGCACACACATCCCGTTTGTTCTCTGAACCTATAAAGCCATGTGCCTGGTGCTTCTCTATCCAGGGAGAAGTCTGAATGGAAATGATGAACAAAAGAAGCCCAGATTTAAGTGGGAATGAGACACATTCCTGTAAGTACTGTCACTGTGTGAAATTCTGCCTGGAACAATGAAACACACCCCCATTTACATTCCTCCTATCCACAAAAATATCCAGAATTCTAAAGACCTTTCTCCCATCAGTTCCAGAACATATTCTTGTGTGTATCCTGGGAGACAGGGGGACCTGTCTCCGGGAAAATTTGCCCAAATGGGCATGGGCTTATAACCACACCTACTACTAGAGTGCATCCTATCCTGAAAGCTAGTAGCCATAGCACATCTCCATTCTTAAATCTGTACCCTCATTCCACTCACATGGATGGCTGCAGCACTACAACCCCAACTGCTCAGAGCCTAGGCCTAGAAGAAAGGCTGAGATTCTAGCTGCAAAACCCAGGCAGCATCCCATTCCCCAGGAAACAGAAGACTTGAACAAAGGGAAAGCAGACACAGAGCCCAACATGCCCATGCCTACTTGACATACAGCCAGGGAGCAGCCCCAATCCCAACAAAAACACCATACCACCACAGTCACAAACACCTACAGCCTAGGACACTAACATAGCCTCAGACAACCTACATAATAGTATCTTTCTATTCCATAAAAATTGGAAAAGGTGACTGGTATACTGAATGTATAGGCATCAATTAGAGATGAATTAAAAAGCAAGGAAAGATGACACTCTAAGGTACACAATAATTCTCTAATAACAGACCCTAAAAAAAAAGGAAGCATGATCTTATGGAAGCTCAGTGAGATAAGAGAATACAGACAGACAATCCAATAAAATCTGGAAAATAATGTCATCGTATGAGAAACACAACAAATAGATATCATTAAAAAAGAACCAGAAATTTTATAGGTGGATAATTAAATGAATGAAATTAAAAAATAAAATTGAGAGCCACAACAGATTAGATCAAGAAGAAGAAAAGAATTTCTGAATGTGAAAATCGGTAATTTTAATTAACCCAAACAGGAGGTGAAAGACAACCATATCTCAAAGGTCCCACAGATTAAGTAAACAAATATTTGCATTATGTGAATTCCAGAGGAGGAAGAGATGGAGAAACATGCACAACGCACATTTAACAAATAAATAGCTGAAAATTTCCCAAGTCTTGAGAGAGAGATGCATATCCAGAACTCCAATTAAACTCAAAAGAGGTCTCTCCAAGACATATTATAATCAATCTATCAGAAGTCAGAGAGAATTCTAAAACCATTAAGACTCAAAAATGCATACATACAAGGGAAATGTCCCTAGAGTAACAGCAGATTAAACTTTGTAGGCCAGGAAAGAATGAGATGATATATTCAGAGTGATGAAAGAAAACCCACTGACAGTCAAAATACTACATACGCGGCTGGGAATATAGCTCAGTTGGTGGAGCACTTGCCTTGCATGCACAAGGCCCTGGGTTCAATCCCCAGTATCAAAAAAAAAAAAGGGCTGGGGATGTGGCTCAAGCGGTAGCATGCTCGCCTGGCATGCGGGCGGCCCGGGTTTGATCCTCAGCACCACATACAAACAAAGATGTTGTGTCCGCCGAAAACTAAAATAAATAAATAAATAAATATTAAAAAAAAAAAAAAGAATACTATATACCACAAAAGCTATCATTAAGAAACAAAGCCTGTAGCAGACAGATAAAAACTGAAGGCATTCCTAACTACTAAACTGGAAGCATAAGAAATTCCTAAGGAGCACTAGAACAGACACCCAATGCTTAGTAGAAGAAAAAGTAGGATAAAATCTCCACTAAGTCGGCTTAGGAACTGACTTCCTTAACAAGACTCCTAGAACACAAGTAGTAAAACCAAGAATCAATAAATGGGATGGTATCAAACTACTAAGCTTCTTCTCAGCAAAGGAAACAATAATGTGAAAAAACAGAATGGGAGAAAATCTTTACCACATGCACCTTAGATAGAACATTGATTTCCAGGATGTATAAAGAATTCAAAACAAATAACCCAATCAATAAATGCACTAAGGAAATGAACAGACACTTCACAGAAGAAGAAATACAATCCATCAACAAACATATGAAAAAAATATTCATCATCTCTAGTGATTAGAGAAATGCAAATCAAAACTACTCTAAGATTTCATCTCACTCTAGCCAGAATGGCAAGTAACAAGAATACAAGCAACAATAAGTATTGGCAAGGATGTGGGGGAAAAGGTACACTCATATGTAGCTGGTGAGACAGCAAATTGGTGCAACCACTATGGGAACCACCATTTCACCCAGCTATCCCACTCTTCAATTTATACCCAAAGGACTTAAAATCAGCATACTACAGTAGCACAGCCACATCAATGTTTATAGCAGCTCAATTCACAACAGCTTCATGCATTAACATTTGGGGTGAATTTGGATCTGATGGATCTTTTAGGATATCAAATAAAGGTCCCAACTCTCCTGTTGGTATGCCTAGATAAGGCCTTATCCAATTTACATCTCCTAATAACTTTTGAAAGTCATTAAGTGATTTGAGTTGATCTACTCGTATTTGAATTTTTGGTGGATGGACCAGGGTTGAGAATAATATAACTCCTAAATAATTAATTGGAAAATTTAAGTGTACTTTATCTATTGCTACCTCTAGATTATAATTTTTTAATAAGTTTGTAAGTGTGGCATAACATTCTAGCAATGTGTTTTTATCTTTGTGTGCTAACAATACATCATCCATATAGTGAAATATTTGTAGTTCAGGATTTTGATTTCTAAGTGGCTGAATTGCTTTGTTAACATAAATTTGACACATAGTTGCGCTGTTAGCCATCCCTTGGGGGAGTACTTTCCATTCATATCTCTGATCAGGACCTTCATGATTCAGTGCAGGGATAGTAAATGCAAAACATGGACTATCCTCAGGATTAATTGGAATTGAAAAAAAAAACAATCTTTAATATCTATAGCTAAAACATACCAGGTTTTTGGCAAAGCAGACAATTGAGGAATCCCTGATTGAGCAGGTCCCATAATAACCATCTCATTATTAATGGCTCTTAAATCTTGCAATAATCTCCATTTACCAGATTTCTTTTTAATGACAAAAATTGGAGTATTATGGTGAGATACAGAAGGTTGTATATGTCCCTCCGCTAATTGTTGTTTGACCAGGGCATGGGCTGCTTGTATCTTTTCTTTAGTCAGGGGCCACTGAGGAACCCATACTGGTCTTTCTGATTTCCAAGTAATTTTGATTGTCTCAGTGACCCTTTCTGAAAACCCAATCCATGTCTATCTATTTCTTGATCTATTTGTATTGGTGCTGCTATACCTTGTTCTTGTTCTCCTAATCTTTTTTCTTTCCTAAAATCTTGTCTAGCCCTAATAGTGGGTGCATTTGGATTGATGTTATTTCTTAACGTCAAACCTAATTGATCTAGGACATCTCATCCCCATAAATTTAAAGGAAGATGATCCAATACATATGGCTGTATAGTTCCTTCACATCCTTCAGGATCCTTCCAATCTAATACCATTACACTTCTATGGGGATTAGTTGCTACTCCTAGGCCTCGAAGCGTTTGAGTGGCTTGTTGTAATGGCCAATGTTTTGGCCATTCTTGACGAGATATGATGCTAAAGTCTGCACCTGTATCCAGTAGCCCATTAAATTCATATCCTTGAATATTTAGTTTTAGCATTGGGCAAGAATCTAAATTTAAAGACAGCACAGCCCAATCTACACCTGTGGAGTCTAATCCCCTGGAACCTCTTTCTATAGTATGACTGGAAAATTTATCATGCAGGCTGGGTATTATTAATAACTATGCTATTCTATCTCCTGGTGAAATTACTGATATAACTCTTGGAGAACTAGCTATAATTTTTATTTCACCTTCATAATTGGGATCAATTACCCCAGGACTTATCATAAGTCCTTTTAGAGTAGAAGAACTGCGTTCCAATAATAAGCCACTGTTTTTAGGGGAAGAGGTCCTTTTACCCCTGTGGGAATGATTTGAACTCCCATCTCTGGAGTTAGTACTGCTCTGGCGGAGGCGCAGATATCCAACCCTGCGCTCCCTCTGGTTTGTCTGATGAGAGATCTAATAGACAATGTGTCCTGGGCACTACCCTGATGGTGTCGCTGGGTTCCTCCAGTGCCCTGTATATTTGTGGTCGTGGGCCCTGGAGCATTGGGCCCCCCTGTCCGTTTTTTGGCAATGGAGCCCGATGCTTTTCTCCACAATATCATGGGTAAACACCTGGTCCTTGTCCATTTTTTGATAACGGAGTACTCTCTATGGTGGTTTGAGAACGGCTTTCATTAGCCCAATGTCTCCCTTTACGGCATCGGGGGCAAATACCCGGTATTCTACTCCTTTGATACGTAGCTTTGTTAAACCCTCCTCCTATGGGGCAACTCCTTTTAAAATGTCCTGTTTGTTCACAATTGTAGCATGTTTTCGGCCTGGCATCTAAAGCCTGTTGTACTACAGCTGCCAGGACTTGCCCTTGTTCATTAATGTCTCTACATAATTTGATATATGTGTTTAAATCTCCATGTTTCCATGGTCTAATGGCCTCCTTGCACCATCTGTTTGCTTATTCAAAGGCTAGCTGTTTAATTAATGGCATTGCTTGTTCTGTGTCCCCAAAAACTCTGGTAGCTGTTTGAATAAGCCTATCTACAAAGT